AGGTGAGGAGCTAGAATAGATCCTTGAGGGCCCCTACATTTGATTTAGTTATTTCGAGTTGTTATAGTAATCTATAGTAATACATTGTTGTCTGTTGTCTAGATAGTTAGCAAATTATTTTATAGCTTGATTTTTTATGCCATATTTTTCCATATATTTAAGTAATATTGTGTGGTCTACTGTGTCAAACGCTTTTGTAAGATCAATAAAAACTTCTAATACAAATTTCTATTAGGATCTAGGATAGCATGTTTCGTTTTTGATTGAAAAGCTGAAGATATTAAAAATAGGCCTTTTTATTACAGAAAAAGCATAAAGTATAACATTGCCAGAGATGTCGCCAATACCAGGGGCTTTACTCTTTTTGATTTGATTGCTGTTTCTTGTTGATCGAAGTGTAGATCACTGTCTGGCAATGAACTCTCAAAGTCACTAAAATAATTTTGAAATGATTTTTATGAGCCTTTTATTTTTGATGCCAGGTTAAGACCAGTGTTTCAATCAAAAAAATCAAAAATAATTGAATATTTTTGATCTCTTTTGTCTTTGTACTCAGTAACGTTTTCCGTTATTCTGGTAGGTAAAATGTCAGAAACTATTTTATTTTTACCAATAATTTCTTTCATAACTTCCCACGTTTTCTTTAAATTCCAATTATTATTTTTTAATTGTTCAGAATAATATCTTTTTTTAGATTTTTTTATTTTATTTTTTCAAACAGATTTTTATCTTCTTTATAAACATTAAGATTAGCTTCGTTTCTGTTTTTTTAAATATTTGATGTATAATGTTTGCTTTTTTTTTAAAGATCTTCTTATTTCGCATGCAATCCAAATACATTTTAAATATTTTTCTTTTAATTTCTATTTCTTTTATTGGGAAATGTTTGTTATGATATTCAAGAAAGATGTCGAGAAATAGATTATAGGCGGAATTTCCAAGGTAACAATCTGGAGTGTCCAAGGTTACATTCTTGGTATACATTTGTCCAATTTATTGTTGATAAAGATTCTTTAAATTTAAGCATAGAATGTTCATTCATTTTTCGTTTCAAGATTTTGATTTTACAATTATCATTTATGATAATTACGTTCAACAAAGAAAAGAAAATTGGAAAGTGATCCGAAATATCAGTTTTAATTATTTCTGTTTTTATAGACTTATAGAAAGGAGTTAGTTATATAGTTAGGAGTTAGTTATATAATATTATCTATAGCACTAATGGAAGTTGTTGTAACACGAGTTGGTTTGTTAATGATTGGGAAAATTCCGTGTTGAAATATATTGTCAAAAAAGATTTTAGTATTAGGGTGTTCATTATATTTTTTTTATTCATTATTTCTTTTGATAAAAATTTGTTGCAAATAATTTGAAAATTGAATAACATCATCGTCAGGTGATCTATAACAAGTAGAAACTGTTTTTTTGTATTTTTAATTATTATCTCAATTGTTAGGACCTCACAGTCTGAATTAGAGATCGAGAGGTCTTTTCTAATTTTAAAATCGTGGTCATTACGAATGTAAACTAAAATTCCTACTCCCCTTTCCAGCGTTTTTCTCTGAAATGAAATAGTTTTATAATTAGGTATCATCCTAATATTAGGTAAATAGGTATTATCCTAGCATTAGGTAAACAGGTATTATCCTATTATTAGGTAATTAGATCCTCTGAAAATTTGAATTCTTTTGAGATGACTCTCGTCACACCATGGTTCTGTAAGACAAAACATGCTAAATAAAAAATTGCATTCAAAAGGAAAGTTTTTAATTTTGTCTATATTTACATTTAAACTTCTGATATTGATGTGTATCACCATGAAATTTTTATATATCTGTTTTTAATTGCGTTTTAAAAGTTTCAATATCAAAGTATTGCAAGTTTAAATCTAATACTTTAAAAAGTTGTTTATCTACGTCATAAAAGTCGAAGTAAAATGCTGTTATCAGTTTCAAAAAAGTTTAATTCTTTCAAAACAATTAAACTTTTTTGGAACAAAGTTTCTTTTTAAAGTCGATTTCGTAAGCCATTGCGCATGTTTAAGAGTTTATTTTAACAAAATTAAGGTTAAGAATTTAATTTATTTCCGAAACTCTCGTACAAAATTATTTAAAATATTTGATTACTGCAAATTTACCTTCTTTTGGGTGTCTTTTTATTTTTTCCCAGAGCTTTTTTCGTTTTTCTAAGGTTTCATTTGTGTAATTTTTTATGTTTTTACATTTATGAATATTTCACCGCGCTTAAGTTTTTTTGCTAAAGCTAATATTTTATTTTTTTTATAAAAATTTAAAATATTTTAGAAATATAGTTCGCGGCTTGTTTTCTTTTATCGGTCTTATTCGATGGGCTCTTTCAATTTCTATGCCCTCCCGATTGGTTTTTATAGATACTGACTTTTTGCTTCATTCAAACAGAAATAAAGTTATTGTAATAATTTGTTTTTTTGTTAAAACTTTTGTTAAAACTAGCCGAATCTCACTCTGAAACATGGAATTAAGTAAATTTGCAGTAATCAAATATGATAAATAATCATTTCATGTTTAAGAGTGAGATTCGGCTAGTTTTAATAAAAGTTTTAATAAAAAAACAAATTATTACAATAATTTTATTTCTGTTTGAATGAAGCAAAAAGTCAGTTTAGCAAAAAAATCAAAATTAGGTAAGTCTATTTAGTTCCAGAGATAAGGACCTCGGTAAGAAACAAAAAAGTGGTCTTAGCTTTTATGGCAAAAAGGGGCAATAAGATTGCTATTAATATTAAGATTATGTTTGTTTTTAGGTTTCAGACAATAAAGGTTTTGTAAAATATTTGGCGACAAATTTTTCCTACATTTAAACATAAAATATTTAAAGACATTTAGTTGATATACATTTAAAAAATTAATTTTTTTAAAAAGTTATTTCGTGTGAGGAAAACGATTTTTAAAACTTTTTTGCGCAAGCAGTATGTTTCTGACAAACGTAAAAAGATTTTAGCTTTGTTCTATGAGTGTTCCCCCATATGATATTTGCGCAGTTTATATGTCAATGTATAAATGAATAAAACAATTGTATTAACAGGTAGGGAACGAAAAATCGACCATTTGCGGTGATGGTTGGTTATCAACTAACCGCAGCGGTCAGTGATAGCGGTACGCGGTGATGCATTGGCGGTCACAGCGGTTAGAGGTGTGCAGTGATTGTCGATTAGCGGTTTTTAGACCATCACCGCAAAAGGTCGATTTTTCGTTCCCTATTAACTGGTCTTTACTTAATATATTTCTTGTTTTATAGAGAACTCCGATGCATTTAGTAAATTTTATTGGAGGTATCAATATGATTTTTCCAAAATAGATTTTCGTCAATATATACTCCGAGAAACTTAATTTAATTTTTTTTCTTTTTTATTATTAGTAATTTTTTTATTTCTTATTATTATATTATCAATTAAAAGGTCTGGCAGTTTCTGATTTTTTAAAAGGTAGATGAAAGAGTGTCAAGTAGTTCTTTTCTATATTTAGAGAGAATCTTTTTTGTTTAAGCCAAACAAAAATTTTTTTTAATTTATTTGTCATATTAGTAAAAAACAACTCAACTGCAAAAATTGTTGCTCTTAAGTTTGATGATTAATGAAGATTATTTGTTGATTATAAAAATAAGTAGACCAACTACTTGAAGAACACTAAATGTTATATTCATGAGATGTAGAATCTAAATTGTAAACAAACTGTTTTATCTATAATACCAAGGAACTGTTTTATTTGGTAATACAATATTCTTTTTCAAATTTTGAAAAAATATATAATAAAAACAGTTAATGTTCCATTAAACTTTCAAATATACATATTTAATATAATGCACATTTTTGGTTTAATGTAAATTACCCTATTTATATGCTATAACCATCTAGACACCAATATTAAAAAAAAGCCGCAAAAAAAAAAAAGCAAAATATTGATTTTTAAAGTTATTGTTGCCATAGTGTTAAAATATACTATTTTATTTTACAACGGTATTAAATTTTGAGGATTTAATTTTGTTAGCCTGTAATAGACATTTTCGATTTTGTTGTAATGCTATTCATGTTTTTATGTTGTTCATAAGCTCCAATTTTGTCAAATATTGCTAGTTAAGTTTTATCGTTTCCACCAACAAGTACGGCGGCCGAAAGATCATTTAGTAAAAAACCTTTAACCCACAATTAAATTAGAAAAAGATTTTGCTTTTGAATTTAGACACAACCAAGTGTACAATCTGAGTACAGGGTCCACAATATGAGGGGTTCTACAAACAAAAGATAAACAAATTGACCTGTTCTTTATATTGACGACTTGATTATAGCAGACAGTAGATCTTATCTGAACAATTTTTTTGTCAAAGGTGAATCTCGTTAGGTTATTTCAGAAGAAATAAAGTTTTTTTAGCTACAACTTTAGATAGGGCTGCGCCGGCCCTATCTAAAGTCGTGTATCGCTATACATTTTATAAATTATCTCTATACATTGCCAAAAATTTAATCTGGGAAATGTACAGAGTTACTGAACCGAGTTACTAAACAGGAAGTTAAAGACCTGTTGTCTAAAAAAAGTTAAAAATTGATTATTAGATAACTATTTAAAATTGTGTATTAATTGTTAACAAAAATTATATATAACATTAACTATTTTTAATTTAAAAAATCCATCGTTCAAATAAAAACACAAAAAAGACAACATGAAAAACACAAAAAAAAACATATATATATGTGTGTTTTTATGTATATATATAAAACATATATATACATATACACGTGTGTGTGTGTGTGTATATATATATATATATATATATATATATATATATATATATATATATATATATATATATATATATATATATATATATATATATATATATATATATATATATATATATATAAATAAAACATATGTTTTTTTTGTGTTTTTCATGTTTGTTTTTTTTGTTTTTGTTTTTATGTGTGTATAAAGCCAAAGTGTAATTTAAAAAAATATAATCATGCATATGAGTATTAAGAATTTAAGAAGTATATTAACAATTCTAAACTTTATAAACAAAATGGAGAATAAATAAATTGTTACAAAATAGAAATTTTAAATAATCTATAAAAATTCCAATACTAAGAAATAAATAAAAGAAAAAAAACTATTCGTTTCCCAATAAAAGATTCGCAACTTTACAGAGATCATCCAACCTACTGGCAATCAGTTTCCTAACATCACAAACCATACTTAATATTAGTCGATCGTCAATTTCATTTAAATCTATGCTGTTTGAAAGAGTTGGATTAAAACGAAAATAGTTTATTCCTGTCATTTCACACCAGCTTTGAGCACGATCGACAACATGGTCATCACTTGCAGACACCTATGAATAAAAAAAGTGCTTTGAAATAATATAAATAAATGAAGTTGAGATTATCAGTATTTTTCCATAATCTTTATTTTTTACCTAGGATATTCAACATTGACAAAAACCTTTGATTTCCTGGTATAATATTTTTTATAAAAAATATTTCAATTACCTGGTCTATCATTAGATCAACAAAACCTTTTAAATTGTCTACAATTTCTGGTGTGTCCCATAACGACGAAGGGCGGTATATATCTATAGGGCGTAACGGCTGCAAAGCATATCGACCAGTCCCTGTGAGTATAAAAACATTCCTTTTGCATGAAAGAATGAGAATAAAGATGAGTTACTGCTTCAAACAAGCAGTTAAAAAAAGCATATGTATATAAAAAATATATTAAAAAAAATCAGCATAGAATTCGCACAGTAATTATTTCTTTCATTCATTCACTTCCTCAAACAGTATTAGCATAGTCATAACCTACTCCACTGTAGAGGCGATTTTACTCAAATTATACCTACTCCACTGTAGTAACTCTTAATTCCTAAGTGAAATTAATACTAATAAAATACATTTCATCGAGGTCTTATAAGCACCTACTGCTTTAGTATGCTACACAACCAATAAAAGAAACAAGATTTCCGTAGTAGTGATTCTCAAACCCTTGACCTAAACGATTTGAAGTTGTAATAAGAAATTAATGCCATACCTAAAGAAACAATAACCCGTATATTAGCAGCTTGTTGTTCACTTGTGTTACCAAGGTACTTTTTATACTTGTATATTTCAGATATTGTATCAAGTGTAGGATTATTGGCTATAAGCCCTCCATCTAAGTAACGACCAGTTGATCGAAAATATGATGGTGCTGAACAAGAACTTCTTGTTGCTAACCACATCAGTTGGTCTATGCAAAAAAAAATGATTTTATAAAAGAAAAAAATTGAAAAAAAAAACTTTTTTAAAATTCTTAACAATTTTGGTGTATTTATGAACTGGTTTTTATTTAGTTTTCAATAATTTTCAAAAAATATAATTGAAAGAAATTATTCTAAAAATAATATAAACTAAATAAGTCTAATTACTAGACCCTATGATAACTAGTATCTATGGTAATTAAAAACTATGGTAAAAGAATTAGATTTAACACAAATTAATCCCAAAATATGCATATAATAAACGTCAACTTAAAAACATTTAAAAACCATTTGTAGGTCAAATCAATAGTTATCTAGTGACTACTGTATAAAAGACATCAAATTAAACAAATATAAAAAAAATATATAAATTATTACCAGAAGGTAATGGAGGTCGGGGAAATCTAGCATCTCTGATTCGATAATGATCATCATATGGAGCATCGTAGTTACGAAAAAAATGAAGCATAGCTGGTCTTCTGTCTGCTAGCACTGCTGGTATAATTAACCTGTTATAAAAAAACTTATTAAAAACGAAACACTTGGAATAGCTTGTCAAAAGAAAACGCAAAAAATAATTTTAAAAAACAACAATTACTTTTTATAATTTTATTACAATTTGTATTTAAAGTTACATCTGTTGCATTATAATGAAATAAAACCGAAGTGTACTGGAAGTAAGGATTGATATGAAAATGTGTCGATAGTAAACATCTGTTTTAAACAAACCATTTTATATTTTTCACTAAGTTATAATTATAACATCTGTCGAACATTTTGTATTTTAACATCTGTCAAACATATATATTTTTTGTTTGGTCATTGTTTTAATATCAGTCAAACATATTTAATATACATCAAGTCATTGAACAAACATCATACTTTTTTGTGTTAAAAATGCCAAATTTTTTTAACCAGAAAGCCATATGATGATCATGCTCTATCAGAAGCAACATGCATAAAATGTTTTCAAAGGTTCAGTTAGACGTTTAAGCCATCACAAGATCACTAAAAAAGTTTGAAACACTGTATTGCAAGCAATATTGAATAATGATGGTACTTTGAATAAAAAGCAAATAGTAGAAATCTTAAATGTTACTTAACAAACAATTTCTGACTGTTTAAAAGCTTTGGCAAATATCCACAAGTGTGGAAAATGAGTGCCACATGACTTGAATGAAAAACAAATGAAAAACCGAAAAAACACTTTGTGAAATTTTGCTTCATAAACACTAAAGAAAATTAGTAATGCTTCGAATTGTTACTGACAATAAAAATGAAATTCATTTAAAAAATCCTAAACGGAAAAAATCACAGTTTAATTTGGGACAACCATCAACATCGATTGCATAAAGGCAATGCTTTGTGTATAGTGAGATCAGAAAGGTGTGTTGTATTATGAGCTTAAAACCTGGTGAAACTGTTAATACAAATCACTACAGACAACAAAGGCCAGAAGAAACAGCAAAGTAATTTTGTAATCCACCTGTACACAAAGCATATAATCAAAGCAATTGGCTGGGAGCTTCTATCTTAATGACAGTACTTGCCAGACTTGGCCTCTTTAAATAGAGTTAAAAATATTTTACCGCACCACTTGTAACAGTTTAGAAATGCTAAACTGTTTATACAATATATGTAAAAGTAAAAGAAGTTTTTATATCATTTACAGGGTGGCCACATTTTTATAAGAAAAAGAGAATATAAGAGGATTTTAGAAGAGAATTGGCATTTAATTTAGAGAATTTTTTCACAAAACTACAAAAATTTTGAATAAAAATATTTTATTCAAAATTTTTGAGGATTTTTGAGAATTTTTTTTATAGATTTAACGTCCATGTTTCCACATAATTGGGGTATGGGGTCAACAATGTCATTTTTTTATAATAGATGACATGGATTTGTTAAAACTGGTTTTTTAGAACCCAATCCTCATTTCAGACGTTAACCAGTTATGTAGTCCATGAATTTTGAACATTATACTACCATCAAGAAATGAAAAAATAAAAAAAGAGGAGTTAAAGAGATTTTATCACATTTTAGAGGATTTTAGAGAAAGTTTTTGAAAAAAGAGGACTTCAGAGGATTTCAGAGATTTCTAGATGTATTTCTACTTTAATTAAAAGTTGAGTTAATTAAAAGAACTTATTTAAATCACTTTTATATTTATAAAATTAAGTGTTGTTTGAACAAACAATAAGTCCTGAATTAAGTGTTGTTTGAACAAACAATAAATTTTAAAAGCTATACATTATAAAAGTAATAACATCATTATAGAGTTTTTACTATTATAACACATTAGTGACTGAAGTGTTATTACTTTTATAACACATAAGTGACTGTAGTGTTATTTATTTTGTAATCAGAAGTTTTGTTTTGTTTTTGCTTATTAAAGCTAAAACTAAAGTTAATTTGCCCCATGAAAACAAAGTACATGGTTTTGCATAAATTAAAACTTTGAAAACCAGATATTTTGCCAGATATCGCAACTTGCAATTGCCTAATTCAACCCTTGATTCTATTTTGACTAAAATTAAACAAAAATAATATAATTTCTTCTTCTAGGCTTTTAGAAAATTCAAAAAAAACTTCAATAGACAATTAAAAATTCAAGTTTTTAAGAATTTACTTTTGATTTTAGGATGAGTCTTTCTAAAATTATTTTTTTTCAAAAATATATTAAATAGTGACTAAAAAAAAAAATAATGAAAAAATGAAAAAATTTACTTTGGGTATTCCACTTCATTCATTTTTTTATCCTCACCAAATTCACTCATCAGAAATGAATCTATTAGTTCAGTAGAGTAAGGCCTAATTCCAACTAAACAACTGCGACCAAGACGTAAGTATGCACGTTGCATATACCGAAGACTTTTACCTGTTTAATAAATAGTAAAAAAAATTAATGCTGAATTACTATTTAGTTATCTATGACTTTTACTTTATTTATTTTAAAACAGATATAAAATTAAAACAGATCAAAAGAATATTCTTTTAACTGTTATTGAATAAAAACAGAATAAAGAAAACAATTTGCTATTGACCACATTAAAAACAGAATAAAGAAAACAATTTGCTATTGACCACATTAAAAACAGAATAAAGAAAACAATTTGCTATTGACCACATTAAAAACAGAATAAAGAAAACAATTTGCTATTGACACGCTAAAAACAGAATAAAGAAAACAATTTGTTATTGACCATGCTAAAAACAGAATAAAGAAAACAATTTGCTATTGACTGCGCTAAAAACAGAATAAAGAAAACAATTTGCTATTGACCGCGCTAAAAACAGAATAAAGAAAACAATTTGCTATTGACCGCGCTATAAACAGAATAAAGAAAACAATTAGCTATTGACCGCGCTAAAAACAGAATAAAGAAAACTAACCATTTGCTATTGACAGTGCTAAAAAGGAGCCAGTACTAGTTCCACTAATCCAATCAAATAGGTCATATATTTGGCATCCAGTTAATGTTTCAATTGTCAGCAATATTTCTGTTAAAATTAACCCACGCATTCCACCACCATCTAATGAAAGAACAGCTTCTTTATTTGTCTTCATTTTCAAAATAGATTGTGTGCGTGATGGAATTTTAGATGGTTGGACTTTCTCACATTCTTTAATTTTATTTTTGTCTAAAACAAAACAAGAAATTAGTTTATTGCTTACTTATACAAAAAAATTTAAGGAAAAGTAGATCAACTTTAAAAACTGCAATAACTTACAAAAATAACATGAAAACACTAAAAAGATGGATACGAAAATATTAACTCACTTTATGTTAAATAATGTGGAAAATTGATTCATGGTTAATTAATGTGCAGTAATGCTAATTATAAATTTATTTGCCTCTCTAATTCATGATTTAATAATGTGCAGTTAATTATAAATTTATTAGGCATACAAATAAAACAAATTATCATCAAATAAAAATTTTATCATTTAATTTTGTCTTCGATACATATGTAAATTATATATAAGTTACATTTTGGTTTACTGAGCACTGAAGAAAAATATTTTATGCCTTTATATATCTTTATATATAAAGGCATAAAATATATTATATATCTTTTTCAAAACTAGTAACTTAAATGTCAACAACGTCTAAGTTAAATGTGAACAACAAAAAGAACAATTAAAAATAATTAAGAATAATTTTCAAAAATCACTACCATAAAAAATACTAGGTTGCAATATTTTGAGTTGGATATAATGGTTTAATAGAATTTAACGTTAATAGAATTAATGTTGTTGTCATTGATCACCTAAACGCACATCTTCAGAGGTGAAAAATAAATGTGCTTAAACTTTAATAAGGGTGTGAAGAATAAATCAGTTAAAGTGAACAGACACTGTGATGGATTATGGCTCTGGGGATATTTTGTGGGGCTGTGCCTTTACACAAGTTCAAGCTGCAAAAAAAAAGCAACCTACTGTCAAAAAAGTTGATTTCCTTGAACCATTTAAATAAAGAGATTAAATGTTCAAACTGGGTTGCTTGCTCCAAAGGAAAAAAAAATGCAGATACTAAAATAAGAGTGGACATATAAACAAAGTTGTTAATTTCTTGTGTGCCCAATGTATTGCAAAGAAGAAAAAAGAAAGCAAACAGAATGAAGTTTAAATAAAATTCTTTTTTATTAGAGAACATTAAAAATTCATTTTTTCAGAATTAGTAATAATTATTAATTTCTTTTTTTGGTAATGTAAAAGTATTTCTAGTAACAACTAAATAATTTTTTTGGAATCAATAAATTTTTATTTAATTTTTTTTCTAAAACAGGATTTTATTCAAAAGTTTACTAAAATTTTATGAAAATATTTTACTTATTTTAATTTGCTATATATGAAAATAAAAATGATTTTTTTTTTATTTTTTTAATTTGCTTTTTCCTTCCTCAGATTTTTCTTTCCTTGGATTTGGTGATAACTTTAAGATTTGGTGATAACTACATTTTTAAGATTTGCTAGCTTTTGGATCATGTACCTAATATTACGATTCTAGCTCTATTACAGAAAACATTTTTCATTTTATTATTGTTTGTTTTATAATTAACTTAAATTTATTATTTTATTGGCTATATTATTTAATTTCATTTCATTTTAATTTGTTGAATTTATTGATTTATTATATTAACCTATAATATATTATCAAAGTGAAATGAAAATTAGAAATGAAATAATATTATCAAAAAAAAAAAAAAAGTTTTAAAATGTAATCAAAAAATGCTATTGATGGTAATGAAATGTAAAAAATAGGGTTTAAATTTTTTACACATAAATTTGAAAATATTTGTATTTGCAACAGGTTTCAAGATTCAATTTATCAACAGGACTTCAAGATTTTAGTTTTCCAAACAAGTAGTACTTTTACCACTTTGTTTATTTTCCCAGCAAATAATACTTTAACTCAATATTTTTGCAGCATGTTTATGCAGTTACTAGTTTATAACTTAGAAAATGCAGAGATTTTGGTGCTATAAAAAAGTTTTAAAAAGCAAAAGCTAAAATATGATTAAAAAAATTGGCACTCATTTGCAAAAATAAAAAAGTTGCAAAAGTTGTAACGTGAAAATCACTATAAAATTTCATTTAATGCAAAAAGTGTTTAACAAAAACAAAACAAAAAAAAACTTTTTTTAATTTTTCTTTTGAAATTTTTAAACTTGATCGACAAAATAAAAACTATAAATAAAAACTATAGCAATATATATATATATATATATATATATATATATATATATATATATATATATATATATATTAACAACAATAATAACAATAGCAACAACAACATCAATAATAATAATAAAACATTAAAAAAAGTTCAATTCAATTTAAAAAATCCAAACTTACCAATTTCAAAAAGAGAAAAAATTTCTTTAATATCTTTGGAACATTTTTGATTAAGGTCAATGTAATCCATTGCAGTTTTACCACTATTGTCTTTAATGCTAACATCAGCTCCAAGAAAAAGCAAACATCTTAAAATATCTAAATCATCTTGCTATAACAAATTAAAAACATAATATAATATGTACAGTTTTAATAACAGTAAATAGAATTTTTATTCAATAAATATTCTCAAAAACAAGAGTGGTGGAAAGGTTCTCAAAAGTGTGGTGGAAGAGTTCTCAAATGCAAGAGTGGTCGAGGGGTTCCATATAAAAGTTTAATATGCAAAATTTAGATATTTTAAAACAAGGAAAATCCCAGAATAATAAAAAGTTTATGATAAAAATTATGTAATTATAGAACAAATCTTATAACAACTTCCCCAACCTACATGGCATAGAATGCTATAGAAGATGCATATTGTAGGTTAATCAAATTACCAATACTCAAACAAACGTACATATTATATTTCCAAAAAAGTTATATACAACATATACTGTTATATTTTGATAAAGCAATCACAAAACATTCTAACAGTAGGAACATTATACTCACTTAATTTTTGATTTTGATTGGATGGAGCTAGTGTATTTGTTTAGTATCCGTTAAAAAACCGGATAACAGTTCCCATCAACTTGCAGTTAACCGACTATTCAGTTAACCAAAAATCTTATAAAGCATAAACTGTTTTGCTTTTGTTAAATATTTACCTGTCAGGAATGACGGTTTTGCAACCAATGTAGTTAGCACTCATTGTCATTAGTGACACTTTCTGAATACAGGATCTTTGAAATTTCAACAAACATAGTGTTTTGCTTATACTCATTTTTGAAAAATCAATTTTAAACTGTATATTATCAAGTCAGTCAGTGACTATAGTCCTATATTATATATTTACAACAAAACATGGAAAAAGATATAAATGAACAGAAATTTAAAAATTTTAATTTCTGTTCATTTATATCTTGTTTAATTATCATCATTATTATTCTTCGTCTCGACATTGCTGCTGATTTGAATTTCATCATCATCATCATCATCATCATCATCATCATCATCATCATCATCATCATCATCATCATCATCATCACCATCATCATCATCATCATCATCATCATCATCATCATCATCATCATCAACAACTTCTTCTTCTTCATTATCAGCAACCAAGTTTAAATGTAACTCTGAATTTTCATACAGAAAAACCAGCATCCCTGCATATTCTAGCGTTAATTGATTTATTTTCTTTGTAATAACATTTGCGGCTGTTGAAAATACTCCATCACTCAGACAGCTGGTTGCGTTGATGCAGAAAAACTGTGCAGCCAAACAAGAAATAAGGTTGAATCGAAAACTATTCAACTTCCACCACATTAGTGGATCTCTCGTGAGCGGTACAACAGCTTCTGCTATGTAAATCTGCATCTCCTGTCTAAAATCATCAACTACATTGCATTTGGATTTGCAATTTTAATTGAATTTTATGAACGTAAGTAACAACAACGATGTCTTGAAAGCATTGTCGCAAAAAAAAGTTATGTAATTTAACTCAAATAAAATTAAGTGATTGATTTGCGTTTTATATAAGCATTTTAAAATCAATTAATTGTGTTTAATTCGTTAAAATCAACTTATTAAAAACGTGTTTTAAAAAGCCAAAAAAGTCGGGTTAACTGCCAATCCAGTTAGCCGAAGAAATTACTTGATGGAGCATGATATATTTATAGAATGGTTGAAGGAAGTGTATATACCAGAATACCAAGTTATTAGTGCTATTCATATTTTTACATCTAGATGGACATATGTCTTGTTAGACAGATATTACGTCTTGTTTTGACGAACATATGCCTCAGATTAGTTTGGCAGTTGTAATGCAATGTTGGGAAAACAATATTATCTTGACTTGTCTACCACCTCACTCATTATTGTCATTCATCTAATATTCTACAACTACTAAACAGAGGTGTATATTGCTATAACAAACTAGTGTTGAAGGTAGTTCTTACCAATTATTACAAAGACGAATTTAGATAAAGAAAAGCTTGCTCCATTGCTCAAACAGGTGTATAAGTGGCAAATGTATTACACATTTGCTGGTTTTCAATATACTGGGTTATTTCTATTCAACAAAAAAATAATCAATCACCATGAATTAGCTATCTCAGAAACATTTTTTCAACCAACATCTTTAATACTATTGCCAACAATACATTCTTTATTATTATCTTTCTAATTATCTATACAAGCTTCAAGGTTTATAAAGTGAAACCACATGATAAAACCAAAAAGCAAAATGGAAAATGAGATTTTTTTCAAGGGAAAAATAAATTTTTATAATGCCTAGATTTTTCAGAGAAATTTTTATATATCTGCATTTTTATATATCAGCATTTTTATATATCAGCATTTTTATATATCTGCAAAAGAATTGGAAAATTCTGTTTTAGTTTCTTTTTTATTTAAAATCACTATAATTGTAATAAAAATTTTATAACATTTTTTTTTTCATTAAAACCTATTTTTCTTCAAAAATACTTTTTATTTAAATACTTTTTATTTCAAATGTTTTAAAATAATAGTTTCAGAAAAGCCTTTTAAATAGTGTATTTTTTTATTATTATTTATTTAAAGATCATTCTTTTAATTGCTAAAAGTATGAGTTATAATAATAATGAATAAAAATAATACAAAATAAATATAATAACATAAAAGATGTGCTTAAACTCAAATATTCAGAAGTATGAATTAATGCAAACTTAGATTCAATGGAATAAGTTCACAAAAAGCCAAAAATATTTATCTTTAAATCATTAGGACAAGTCAGAAAGCCTGAGACTCCTAAAACTAAATTTAGTAAAAATTGCTTAACAACCATTTTTTAAAGTTGACAAACCTTGAAAAAAATGTAGAAATGTAATGTAGAAAAAGTGCATCTAATAGCGCTAGATCATATATATATATATATATATATATATATATATATATATATATACAATGTGAATAAAAATATGCAATCAAATTGGATGTTAAAAACCTACAAACAAATAAAACTTGAATAATAAGTAAAAACTACAAATAGTCCTACAACTAAATAAATCCTACAACTAAAGTCTTAAGTTCTATAACTAAATCAGATACAAAAAAACGATTGAAGTTTGAAAAACAATAACTAAATCTACAAAAACAAACAATAACAGTTTACTAGCAACGAACTTTTTTTAAGACTACAGAATAACATGCTTATTAGTTGAAGTAATTAGTAAAATCATAGAAGAATTTACACAAGTAATATCTCAATAACACAAATCGTACAAGTAATATCTCAATAACACAAATCACACAAGTAATATCTCAATAACATAAATCACACAAGTAATATCTTAATAACACAAATCATACAAGTAATATCTCAATAACATAAAGCACACAAGTAATATCTCAATAACACAAATCGCACAAGTAATATCTCAATAACACAAATCGCACAAGTAATATCTCAATAACACAAACCACACAAGTATCTCAATAACAATCTAATAAAAAATAAAACTGCATTGACAGCAGAAAGAAAAATCATAAATAATTTAGAAAATTAAACTCTCTTAGAGAAGATGCAAGGGGGAATAGTTGACTCTGGGCTAATTAATAGAACATTGAAAGTTTCAAATATATTCAAAACATACTAATTCTATAACTTTAAAGTTTATGTAAACGTTTTGCTCTAACTGGATCATTCCCAACCTTCTTTCTTTCTTTTTTTAGCTACATTTCTATCAGCGTATATACTTGTTATGCAGTGTCATAATTCTAATAATTTGATTTTTATTTGCTTTTATTTTAATTAGTTTTTGTGAATTATATATTTTTATAACCTATATGATTTTTATTTAATAAATAATAATAATAAAAAGTAAACAAGTATAATTTAGAAAAAACTTATAAAAGCAAAAAACCTTATAAAAACAAAAAAACCTACCAACACAGCATGATGTAATGGAGTTACACCATTTTGATCTTGGGCATTAACATCGGCACCATTATAAATCAATGCTATACAGGGTGATAAACGTTTTCGTAGCACCATTATATGAAGTGGAGTTTCATTGTTAAAATTACGAACATTGAAATCAATGTTTTGATAACTTGCCAAAACATCAATTTGCTAAATTTATATATATATATATATATATATATATATATATATATATATATATATATATATATATATATATATATATATATATATATATATATATATATATATATATATATATATAACTTTTACAATTAGAGTCAGCATTCAGCAAGACCTAAAAGTGTTTGAAGTCAGCAAAAAATTGCAGACCTCATTTCTATGTTTTATTGTCAGATATCAAATAATTTTTGTCGACCTGATGCCGACCTCTAAAAGATTGAGATCGACAAATTATTGCCGACCTTCTTTTTCCTAATTGTGAGGGTTGTATATATATATATATATATATATATATATATATATATATATATATATATATATATATATATATATATATATATATATATATATACACACATATATAGTAATAATAATAAATATACAATAATATATACATTTATGATTTTTAAAAAACATTTTGTCTTATATGTATATTATATATTAGTTTTGTTGCTATTAATAAATAAAACAAATATTTTATAAAAAAATAAAGAAAAAACCTCAGTATTTTTGGCCCAATGCAGTGCAGAACCATTATATTTCTTATCTTTAAGAAAAATACAATCTTGATCATGCTCTAACAGAAGTTTTAGACACCCTTTACTTTCATGCTTCATTGTAAGATGAATAGGATATGCATGACCACATAACGTTGTTGTACTAACACCCCTCTCTAATAAAAACTGAAGTACACTCTCCTGGGACAATCTAATGGCCACATGTATTGGTGATTCTGTATACTTAGTTATATTATCTAAAGCTCCTTTGAAGTCTTTACCTTTAAAAAAAAAAAATAGAATTAAGAAAAACTATTTAACATTATTAGATAAAAGGGTTGGTATAAATTAGGTGACTTAAGCCAGGTTTTTTTTTAAATTAATTTATTTTAAAAATGGCTGGTGGACATTTATTATGTTGGGAGTTACTATAAAATAAGGAAAATAGTTAAAGAGCAAGAAAATAGTTTGAAAAAAATAAAGCGAGAAAATGGTAAAACTTAAGTACAATAAACTTGAAAAATTTTAAGAGAAAATTTCGAAAGCGCTGTAATTTATAGAATAAAACTTGTTCCCATTTTTGAACAACAGTTACAATAAAAGACTTTGTGAAATGACGAGTCACACATTATTAAATTTGGGTAGATGAAATCAGTGATATAGCTAATTAAGTAGCATGATAGTATTTGCAGAAAAGAGATAAAAACTTTCAATTATGTGACAGAGGCTAAAGCTTGAAACATGTTTAAAATAAATTTTTTCACCTTATCCAAAAGAAAAAAGGCATTGTTAGAAGATCCAGTCCAAATATGACAACAGTATTTCATAAGACAAATTCATAAAATTGAACCAGTGTAAAAAATGATGAACATGATAAAGATCACTTGAGAAATTGCCAAGGTTGCCTCTATCATGCTTAATGCTCCATCATATCTATCATAAGGTTTTTTTAAATCTATTTTTGATAATTTTAATGATAATTTTAATGATAATTTTGCAATGAAAAATCAGAAGTGAAAGATATTAGATGTTATATACTGGAGTCTTTAATAAAGACATGAATCTCTAACATCTACGCTGTAACATAATATTCAAAAAGAAAAACAATTGTTGTAGCAATAATATTGAAGCATCAATAACATATTGTAATATTGTAATTTAACATTAACAGAAGCTTTAATAGTAGCATATATAAAGCAGTATGATTCTTGTTTGTCATAATCTAACTATAATCTTTTTTTCTACTAATGTCTACTTAGGACATATGCTTTGTACATGCTATTTACAGTAAAAAACTCTTCAGTGTGAGATAGATTAGGAGTTTTTTAGTCATTGAGAACATCAAGGCAAAGTAGTCATTGAGAACATCAAGACAAATTAGCTAAAAAAAAGAGGTCGTATGTCTTTTTTATACCGAGTTTATTACAGGTTTACAAAATTTAATAAATGGTGAAAAAAAGCAAAAAACAAAAAACAAATCAGTGACTAAGGGAAACTACCTGAACAAACTAATTAAAAATATTTAAAAAAAAAAAAACCTGTTTGTTGCAACAAATCAATTGTTGAAACAAAATTAGTGACTAGCTCTGGATGGTGCACAGTCAAATATTGAAGAGGTGCACTACCAAAAAAATCATGAGCAAATTTGGGTTCTTCGCGTAGGATCAACTCAATTGTAGCTTGCTGGTGCATTTGCTTATATAATAAAAAAGATACAAATCAAATTCAAATCAAAAAAAATGTGTACATACTTTTCATATTTCTTTTATGATACTGAATTTAGAAATTACCTTTTAATATTGAGTTTTAAGGTAACTATGATATATCTGTATAGATGTGTGTACACACACATATATACTGTATAATATACGTTGTAAAAAATATGTTGTAAAAAAAATTGTTTATTAATCAAAAACTATCAGATTTTTGTAATCTTTTGATATAATGAAGCTAATTGAATTATTTATTTCAATAATTTTTTATATTTTTTATTAGATGCTTTGAAACCAAATATTTTTGTGAGTATTTCAACATTATATGCCGGATCTTGCCTCGAGGCAAAAATATGGTGGTCATATGTTTTTCAATAAATGGCAAAAAGGGTTTCTTTTATCTAAAAGAAAGACGTTTTTTTAACCATTCACTTATACAAAAATCCATGTTTAAAGTTTACAAGTAATGAATTGTGTACTTTTCAAACCACAAGAGAAAACCGCTCACTATTTAAGGAACTTGGGAGCAATTTTTCAGTTGGAATATACTTTAACTTTTCAGCGACATATCTACCTTTTGACTGATAAAAATATTGCTGCAATGTAATAAATAAATAATGGCTCAGCAATTGCTGGCTTAGCGATTGTGAAAAGTGCTTTTTGATGTTTCACCATCTTCAATTATGCACAGGTTTTCTTAATTCAAAATTTAATATAGCTTTTTTGAATGACAAATTGCTTTAATTTCTCCATTAATTGCTTTTGAATTTTCTTTTTATGATATTTTATGATATATTATATTTTTTAGATCTAAGTACTATTTCTTTCAAAACTTGGCTGCATTCAAATTTTTGAAAAATTTCTATTTTTGAGTGACAAATATAACATTATTATATAAAACATAAGATTCTTTTTTTAATAAAATAATTACCTGGAATACTGCAATAATATCCAGGAGTGCAGAGAAGACAATGGTCTTGGGAGTATCATTGAATTAAATTATTAAAAGTTAATTTTAAGGCTGCATTCAAATTTTCTCAGAAGATCTCTCTGCAACTGACACAGATTAGCCTTTATGGAAAAACCATTTCAATTGAGGTTAATATATGTAAGAATACACCATGTAGGCCTTACATCATATTGTAAGACCAAATTTTAGACTTGATCAGACTTGATCATATTTTCGTAAATTATTCATTTTATTTTCTTTTTCAAATGTCTGAAAAAAAACAAACATATTAAGATACTTGGCTGTTTAGTTTAGTTCTTAAATATTTAAAACACTAGTGGACCCTCAAGCAATATGTAGACTTTGCTAAGTTTATATAACAACTTTTAACTGTAAGATTTGTAGTAAAACGAAAGATAATAGCATCTGGTGTATGCATAAACTTGTCATAACGCTTTGAATTGAATATGCACAATTGAAGAGCATTTTTCTAAAAGACACTAAGTCCATTTTTTCAAATGTTTTTTCAACAATCAAATTTTTTTATTGAAAAACATACAAATTTAACTATGCTAGTATCAATAAAAAGTTGTTCATTATCGTTGTTTACAATTACAAAATTATTAATATTCAAAAAATCTTCGCCAGATAATTAGCTTTTTTTGTTTTTCTCAAAACAATAAAAATGTGACTTAGCAAAAAAAGAAGGAAAAAAAAAATATCTCATGGACAAGAAAAACATGAAATGATGGATGAATTAAGAAGATAGGACAGAAAGAAAGGAGAATATGCTATGGTAAAACATCCTGCAATTGTAAGAACTTATAACATATCTATGGGTGGTGTATATAAAAGCAATTTTAATTGATTGCACATTTATATTCCTTAAGTCCCAAAAATGTATATTTCGGGTGAAAACTTTTAGGATCCAGCGATTTGCTGAGAAGAATAAAAGTGAAAATAAAAAAATAAAAAAGTAGCAGACCAAGTAGATCAAACTAACAAGCTCCTTCAAAACGAAAAGTGCTTCATAATATCCCAATAAGTGACATTAGGTTTGATAACATAGGTCATTGGTCTATCCATATCAAGAGCATCGATGTAAATTAGAATTTTGTCACGGGCACTCCCACCTAGAATATGAGAGAAGTAATGTATCTTATTTAGGTTTTTTTTGTTTTTAACAAGGTTAAAAACAAAGAAATTACATTTCTTGTTTAAGTCAAGGAATTGTTTCAAAATAGTTTAAACCAAATGAATATTCAAAATATTTTTTTTTTTATTAATTATTTGTAAATATGAACATTAAGACCTTCTGGTAACATTTGCCACCACTTTCTAGATTTCACACTCTTGGAGAAAATCACTTTAAATTTGATTTTGGAGTTCCTAGTGAAGATTTAATCAATAATTAAAAAAAAAAAAAAAATGTTTAAATAAAAAATTCAGGGCTGAAAGGGTTAATACTTAACCAACACCAGATTTTTAAATATATGCTTTTAATAGACTTAATTAACCCTTGATATTTTCAGACATAACTGATTTTTTAATATAAGCTTTTATAATTTCTTATTTGATCCAAAATATGAATACCACATGAACAACAAAAATGAATGATAAATTACTTAAAATCAATTAAGTTACCTCTTCTTCATTAGTTTCGTGCATAGAAGAATCTCTAGTTTCCTTCAGCTCTGGAAGGAGCAAACTTTCTGCAATTCTTTTTACATCCCATGATGGATTAGAACGACATAATTTTATTAATGAACTCAGAGTAGTTGTTGTATAAATACTTTTAAATTGATCAACAAATGGTAACAAAACTTTACTAAGTTCACTAAATATAAATGGTAACAAAACTTTACTAAGTTCACTAAATATAAATGAAAACTCATCTTTTTAAATGATCATTCATCATTTGAAAAAATATTCTCTTAAAAATCCTAATGAACTAATAAACATTATAAGACACAGCATAATCAATTTATAATACATAAAAATACATAAAAAAGTTGACAACAAAACTATTATAAAAAATATCAAAAATTAAAAAACATGAATATATATTGAGGCATATATATTAGGATAGATAATTCCTACTTAGATGATGTAGGTAGGAAACAACAAAACATAATTATGACACGTATTTATATTTATTAGGATAACTCTTACTTTTCTCTATGTAGATTGATAAAGTAGGAATTAACAAAACATAATTAAAGACCTTATAATTAGTAATTAAATTTGGTAAAAACATTCTTTATTAAATCTCTTTGAACCTTTTTCCAATACAATAATACAGGGAAACAAAAAAAAAAGTTTTGCAGTATTCTATTAGATTAAAATATTTTATTATTTTATAGTTTTTATTTTATGTCTTTTTAAGTATGGTTGGGTCTAAAAAAGAAATGGAAAAAAGGCTGAGACTAGATTTTGAAAAAAAAAAGGGAAACTTTGTTTTTCTTGTGCTAATTTAAAGTCTAATTGGTATCATTAACATAAATTAACATAAATTTGAATCATTAACATAAATAAAATCTTATTAAATGCTTACTTGAAATTGACTTCTGCGTCTTGAGCAGACTCTGTCTGGTAGATTTTAAAACATTTTTTCAGTGAAAACTGATCAACCAGTATAACAACAAACGAGCTGGAAGGATTCAGGCAGGAACCTTTCTCAAAACTTCCTTGACCAGCTTTAAATTCAAAAGGGCAAACATAAAGGCGTATTACATTTTCACAGTTACTAGAAGAAACACTTTTTATAACAGTAAGCTCCTCATAAAAATCAAGATCATCTTCAACCACATTAACACTTTTTCCCACTCCCATTATCACAAACTATTTTATAAGTATTGTAAACTTTGAATAAAACATATTCAGGTTAAAATATTGTTATTTTAAGTATTGCATAACATCAAATATTAAATTTACTTCTTTATAATGCTTAAATATAAATTTGTAATTGTTTTATTAAATAAACAATAAAAAACTATAAACATAAAAAATTATTGTTATTAGTAAACTTTATAAAAACAAATATCAACAATTAACAATAACAAAGACTTTAAAAGCTATAAAATAACAAAACAAAAAAAATTAAAATTAATTTTTATTTTTTAGGATTTCATCAACTCAAAAAAAATCAATAAATAAAATAAAAAGTACCAAAATTTAACACTTTCAAGTTAAATAATTGAAATAAAGTTTTGGAGAAATTAAAGTCTTTTTTACTAATGCTTGATTATATAAAGATATTTAATTATACATGCATAATTAAGCCCTCCACATGCATAAATCATTACACATTATGAAAAAAAGTATTTTTAAACAACAAATAGAATTATGGGACTTTTTATATGCTGAATTTCAATAAGTATTCTTTTAAACCAGTAAGACTCATGGCCTAACAACTTTTATAAACCTGCCTTCAGCAGCTAAACCAATTATTATGCGCTAGCTTAGACTCTGTCCTTGTTTAAACAATAAACATAAAGAGAGAAGATGAGCTTGTTTGGATTTGGGATAGCAAGTTTGCTGAAAAAACATTTTCAAAAAACCAAGACAACAAAATCTTTTCTTTGCATATTATTGAAAGTTTTTCTATATTTAATTCATGTCTAATAACACCCAAGTGTATCAAGTGTACCAAAATATAAAAACTAATTTTTAATGCATAAGTTATTTTATCATCATCTTCTCTTTTTGCCTTTTCCAAGTGTTCTCGATTTCATTTTATCAAGAGTAGCTTGTTTACCTTTACGGAATCTTTTGTTCTTCACTTTTCCTGAAGATAACTTTGAAGAACTTCTGTATAAAACAAAATTAAATTTCTTATTTTATCTAATTCTAATAAAGAAGAGACAAGTGTCAAAAATGCCATCAAGTCTTTTTTAATTAAGACGAAACTCAAAGATTTAGAGATAATAGGTAAATATTTAGTAGACAAATAATACTTATAAACAAAAAAAATATATATTAACAAAAACCAACTTACTCTTTATTTTCATAAACTTTCTTATTTACAGCCTATAAACATATTTATAATTAAAATATATAAAAAAATATTTAAAAAACTATACAAAAAAAATTTTTAGTGTTTGTTTCATTAAAATCTTATTTAAATTTCTCACCTTAGTTAAATCAAGTTTTCCTGGCTTATTTATTTTTTTTAATATGTCAAGAGCTCGTTGCTTTTCATTTATACCATTGCCAGATACAGATTCAAACTAAAAAATGTTTGTTAAAATATGTAATAAATAAATTTGCTAAAAAATTAAAAAAAAAAATTAAGGCTTTTTTAATGTGTTGCAAAAAATGACTTAAGTTTGTATAAATGCATACCTTGCGTTTTTGCCCAGTCTTTTTGTTTTCTTTTTCATGGGGCTAAAAGGCAACAATTTTGGTACATTACCTTTAAGTTCTTAAGTTAAAACATGTGTGTTGTATAGTTTAGTGAAAGCTTTATGAAGCTTTATACTTAACCTTCCTCAAAAATTACAGTTTTAGTGACAGTTTCAGTACATAGACTAAGGTATAGTAACTATGATAGTGCACACATACATAGACTAATATCACTATGATTGGTTGAAATTTGGATCATTTTAAATTAAGTTTACTCAAAAACCACTTATTCAATTAAACTATTTATTTATTTATTTTTAAATCCACACAAGAAATTTTTTGTGCATGAGTGTAGTTTTGTTTTCATCTATTTAGTTTTTGCAATGTTGCATAAAAAGTCTAAAAATATTTAGAAATTTTACATAGAAAATCCATTAAGCTCATATTGGATAATTTCAAAAGTATGTAAGGCTCCAAAATCAACTGTCGGAATCGTAATAAAACTTTAAAAGGAAAGAAACTTTAAACAAGGAAGCAATGAAAAATCAAGATTTTATGGCAAAAAAAAACAAAAAACAATAGTTATATAACATATAAAAGTTATATATCAGTAATCAAAAGTTATATATCATATAATAAAAAGTTATATATTATATAATAAATCATCAAAATCCAACTCACAACAAGATTTAGCTACAAAATTAAAATGCGGTCTTTCATACAAAGATTATTGAAAAAGTAAAATAAAATTCAACAAACTATAAAATTGCTTTAGCTAGTGACAAAAAAAATTTTTTGTACATTTTAAAAGGTGATGAAATTTATTGTAAAAAAGATCACTCAATGTTTCTCGGTAACCAATACTATTATCATTCAAAACTTTATAAAGAGCCCAACAGATTTAAGTACATTTGAGTTTAAAAATTTATTTTGCAAATTTTTTGTATGGGATTTTTGGCTTTAAAACTCTCTTTTATAACAAATTAAACTTTAAAATAGATCTATACATGACTGATTGAGTGGAAAAATGACTCCTCCCTCCAATTAAAAAACATAAACAACCAACTTTATTTTGGCCAGATCTGCCATTGATCCATTATTCCAAAAAAATAATAGATTGGTATAAAAAAAAAGAGTCAATTAAAAAGGATTCTTTTGAAACTTTATTGAGTTTAGAAATATTAACTAAATTCAACAGCACAGAAGCACTGTTTTAAATTGATAAATGGAGAAAATGAGATTCTATTTTCTCATAATCAATGTAAACGCCATCGCCATTCAGTATTTGAAAATCATTTAAATTTAAAAGAGCATGTTTACAATTTCATCATTGATAAAGATGATGATTTTTATCTAATTTAGCATGGATATCCTCTAAAAAAAGTCAAAACCAATAATGTTAAATAATAACTAAAAGTAAAAGTCGAACAAGGAGAGAAAAAATCTCACTGTTTTTTTTTTTAGCTCTAGCAATACTTAACCATTTAAATAGCTTTAAGTTCTCTTTAAACCAATGTTTGATAAAGGAAGAGGAATCAGTAGAATGTTGTGATCATAAAAAGAAAGGGAACTGCAGATTTCCTGAAAAAGCATAAAGAATGCTACAAAGTTGCAAAATAAAATAGTTACCTGGTTAAATGTTACACGCATTAAATCTATGAGTATAAAATTATATTGTGACTATTTGAGATCAGTTGTTTTACTTTTTGATTGATTTATTCCTGAAATAGAATATTGCAGTTGTCCTGTTAGTTCTAGCAGGTTGTTTACTGGGTTGCGTACTTTCACCTTTGTGTTTTTAAAAACATAATGATAAAATACTAACTACAATGAAAATTATAAAAGAAAAGATTTAGGATATAGAATATTGCAGTTGTCCTGTTAGTTCTAGCAGGTTGTTTACTGGGTTGCGTACTTTCACCTTTGTGTTTTTAAAAACATAATGATAAAATACTAACTACAATGAAAATTATAAAAGAAAAGATTTAGGCTCTTTCTTGCACAGAACATTTACAAAGTGTAACCATTTTTTAAAATTAACTGAAAAATAAAAATAAAATTATACCTCACATAGATAACACTAAAATTGAAAACATTGACTTTTATATCAATAAACTCACAGAGGATTCAAGTGATAATAATACTTGAGGAAAAAATAACATTTTTAAAAATACTAAAAGTGTCACTAATACCATCCCAAATAACACTGAGAATACTAATGTACAAAGCACTTATGACGGTTTAAAAGGTGTATTTCTCATTAATAGAAAGCTTTTTAATACTGGTATTGTAAATACTGGTATTGACCTTAGTAACTGCATGACCTTAGTAACTGATTTGGGATTATTTTTTAAACTGGTATTGACCTTAGTAACTGCATGGCTCCAAAATGATGTGGTATTAATTACATAAGCATAGAAAAAAATACAAGAAGGGCACGATTACAGAAAACATAAAATTACAGCTAGTTGACTATTTAATTTACTTGGTTTTTTTGTGAAACTTTTAAAGTTTTATATTATATTAAAATGTTTTTAAAATAGGACATCTACACCAGCCCTAGGCCATTTAGAAAATATTCAAAAATTTGAAGACTTCTTTCTAAAGCAAAAGTTGAAAAATGTCTATATTTTATTAGCCTAACCAACAATAAATATGGTTGTAGCCCTGATAAATTAGGTCCATCAAGAAGTTTGTTAAACTAGAAAACTCAAGATTGTGTTATGTTTAACCATGAACAACAAGTAGAAAATTCTCTTCAAAGTTAAGTTCAATAACAACTACAGATTAAGTGTACAGATGCAAAAGTTTACGTTTTTTAATCATACCTGCTAGAGACCAATAAATCAAACATTTTAAAATTAAACAAAATAATACCTTATTAGTAATTGTTGAAGAAACAGTAAATTCAATTATATGATTGGAAGAAGATAAAAAAATAAAATTATCTTGAAATCAAGTTTTGCAATCTAATTTTGTTATGTTAAAAGTCAAATTTGACAATCTGGTTTTGTTATGTTAAAACCATTGAAAAAATTTATAAAAAACTTGTTTGTTATAAAAAACATGAGATAAAAGAGATAAAAGCAATTTTAACATTTTGAGAATTTTATTTTTGAACTTGTGTATTCCTTTTTAAATTTTTATAACTATAATTTTCTCTTTGCTGAATTGTATTTTTGCTGAATAAAGTTTTATTTTAGCTAGTCATTTTTTTTTTTTGTTTGCATCTTTTTTCTTATTGTTTAACTGGAATAATAATTTCAGGCAAATTGTATTATTAAATTGTAAATTGTTTGTATTTTATCTCTCTTTTTAAAGACTTGTTTTAAACAACTTTATATAGGTTTTTTGTATATTTTCTGATTTTGGTAAACGTATTTAAGTAGACCATTCAAATCTTTTTATTGTAAAGCAGAAACACAATACAATTAAAGTTTTAAAAATCTAGCCAGAAAAAATATAAATATTAAGATGTAGAACACTTGTTGATACTTTATCAAAATTAGAAGTTACTATTTTTATTTTTTCCCTACATCGTAAACATAAGTTATATGCTTTAAAATACTCACAAAAAAAAAACTTTTTTCTTTTTAAATTTTCATGTTGTGAAAAAATAGTTTAAATCACAATTTCCAATTTCCGTGAACTCGCAAAAAATATGGTATCAAAAGGTATTTCCGTGAACTTGCAAAAAATATGGTATCAAAAGGTATTGCCCAATTTCCGTGAACTCGCAAAAAATATGGTATCAAAAGGTATTGACCAATTTCCGTGAACTCGCAAAAAATATGGTATCAAAAGGTACTGACCAATTTCCGTGAACTCGCAAAAAATATGGTATCAAAAGGTATTGACCAATTTCCATGAACTCGCAAAAAATATGGTATCAAAAAGTATTGACCATTTTCCATGAACTCGCAAAAAATATGGTATCAAAAAGTATTGACCAAACTATTAAATAATGTGAAATAGAGTGTATTTCTAAGAAAATAAAAAATTAGCTGCAACTATGAGAGAAATTTCTATTTGAAGTTTGTGCTACCTGGATTATAGCAAATTTTAATTTTTTTGTTTTTCCCAATCTAATGTATACTTTAGATAATTGATCTAAAGTATACATTAGACTTTGTATTCAATAATCAACTGAAAATGATAGTTTACTATTGATAATTGACATTTAACTAGATAACTATTTGCAATAATTATCTGATTAAATTTTTATTTAATTAAAAAACCATTACTTTTAGCCCAAAAAAAAGTATATAATCAAAAAGATTTTTCTTTGTTCAATGTGTTAACACATGTTATCAAAAATCATAAAGATTTACATCATGTTTGTTCAACTGACATGTGACAACATTAAAATGATAGCTGAAGAAGCCACTGCAATAAAAATTGACATAGATCTTAGCGTATCTGGCTATAAACAAATACAACAGGCATATAAATTAAGATATTCATCTTATTCAACAGTTGAAAAAGTACTTAAGTTGTGTGGTCCACAAGATAATTACTTGGAAGTCAGTGAATTAAGAGTCGAAGTAGATTTACAAGCACTTATGAATCACATCAGTGAAAAATGAAGCAAAAAGAATTAATTGATTCAACCCTCGGGATTAGGGTCAGCATTCGGCAATGCCGACCTAACTGCCGACGTTAAAGTGTTTGAAGTCTGCAAAAAGTTGCCGACCTCATTTCTATGTTTTATGCTAACCCCTTTGTATCAGTTTTTTTTGCTGACCTTAAGCTGACCTCTAACAGTTTGAGATCGGCATTAAATTGCCGTCCTCATTTTTCCTAATTCCGAGGGTTGATTGACGATTTGGATATCAGTAACAAACTAAGTGAAAATATATTGCTATTAACCAGTTTGAGTATGGATAGATCTACTGGACAAGTTTTGTACAACCAGACGTTTTCCAATTCTGTTGACAGTCAAGTATGTTTGCAATTGTAAGAACATCTTTGAGACTCAGTGTTTCAAATTCATGAAATAACTTTTTGAGGACCAACTTGATGCCTCTTAGTTTAAGATTTTGTAGGCCAATTGAACATCATTTCATCAAAGAAACTGCTGTAGATGTTTTAGACAAACAGCATCAAATAGAAAGGAAATTTTGAATTTCATCTGGATCCAAATCAAGACTGACTGGACAGTGAATATTGAATTGGTTAATCAAAGGTTTTTTATTATTGATTTTGTCCATTATTTTTATAATACTTTTATACAAAAACTTTTAAAATTGGGTCAAAACATAGCGTCATCAAGGTGTTTGAACTAAACAAGTTAATAAAGTGTTTTTTTTTAATGACAAAAATATAAAAAAATAAAATAAAAGTTATTATTTTCTTCAAAACTATATTTGGCCACCCATTTGTATGAAATTACGACACAGTGCCTTCATTTTAAAGCTATTTTAGAATTTTTTGGAAATTTCTAGTGGTCGCTGATAGCCTAGAGGCAAACTATATCTATAAATTGATTTTTCAATTTTTAAAAAAATGTGTAAAAATTAAAAAAATTTTGGTTAGACAATTCTCATAAAACTAATAGAAAAAAAAACATCAATTTTGCTCAACTTTGAATTTATGATGTTGCACACTAACACTATAAAAAAGTGATACTTTGATACAAAGTCAAATTGTGGACTTGATGGGGGGGGGGGTAATTAGGGTTGGGAATCCCAGGATCCGAAAAGCCTTAATTAAGCATTTAACCCCAGGATTTTTTTTTAAAATCATTTTTGGTTGAACATTTTAAAGTTCAAATTTCTTTGGTTGAGGTGTGACTATTTTCATATTGAAAATTTCTGAGTTTTTTCTTTTTTTTTTCGTTCGATTGCAATCAAATTCGAACTTTACAAATTTGAAATTCTTGCAATTATATTTTTGAATAATTAGATAGGATATATTATAAGAATTAAAATTTGTTTGCATCTACATTCTTAAAAATTGTTGGTGCTTAGTTTATTTAATTTATTCAAATTTCTATTTTGTCGAATAGGCGTTAATTGTTTGTGACTATTTTATAGTACTAGTTTTAATTAAATTAAAATTGCTGGTTATTCGAAAAGTAAATTTTCTTAAATTATAATGGCTTCTTACATGAAATATAACAAAAAAAAGTAATTCTACAGCTTGGAAACATTTCTTACAAGAAGAAAAAAGGCAGACAGCAATGTGTAAGTATACTGACTGCAAAAAGATATTAAAAATAGGTAGCTCAATAAGGTGCCATACGAACTTACTTTTTATCCATAAAATTAACCTCACCTCAGCAAACACGCCAGATGAACCACCAAAAAAAGTTACATGATTCAAAAGTTTAACAACAACAGTCAACACTGTGCATAAAATGGTTCTAGATTACTTTAATTATTGTAGATATGTCAGATAATTACTGATAATTATTGTAGATATGTCAGATTATATCAAAAAAGTTAAGAAGTTTTTAATTACCAAAATAGCTGGCAAAAAAACTTGGTGCAGGAGAGAAATTTTCTTAATATTTTGATGAATGGACATCACTACATAACCATTGTTACATGAATATTAATTTACATGCACAATTGTGTCAATTTTGGAGCTCAGGCTTAATTCATATAATAGGATCAATCTCTGTAGATAAGTGTATTGAGTTATTAGAACAAAAGTTTGCATGACATAGACTTGATTGCAAAAAGATATTGTTGGACTTAAGACTAATGGAGCAGGAGCGATGAAAAAAGTTGGAAGAATATTACCTGTAAATTAAAAGTTATGTTTTGCCCATGTTGTGTAACTGGCTGTTATTGAAGTACTATAAAGAAAGTAAATAGAAAGTAAAATAGATCAGCAATCGACGAAGAAGAACAAAAACTAACTTTTTTTCAGAGAGTAACTCTTGCAAGGATGATAATTTTTCTGACAACAATAAACTGGTCGATCTCCATGCTAGTCATAATAGGCATCGAGAACACAAAATGATGTTACTGAGGTAAGTTGTGGTCCAGTGATTAAAAAGGTACGAAAATGATGTTACTGAGGTAAGTTGTGGTCCAGTGATTAAAAAGGTACGAAAACGATGTTACTGAGGTAAATTGTGGTCCAGTGATTAAAAAGGTATGAAAATTAATAATAATGTTCAAATAATCACCCAAAAAAACAAAAAAAAAAACAGATGTCTTACAAAAGTATGTTGTGGCTAATATTGAGAAGCAAATATCTCTAATAAACGACTAGATGGAACAGTCTATTTATTAGAAAATTATATACAAAAGGCATTAATAGACATAAGTCTAGCGGAAAGTGAATCCCTGGCTTTATCTTAATAAATTGTTTTTTCTTAAAACACTTTGAATGTGTTATTAGTTTTATCAAAACTTTACTTAAATAATGTTATAAAATTTTTCAAGAACAAGTTTTTAAAAATCCTGAGATTAATCCTGGGATCCCGGGAATAAGTAAATGTAATCCCGAAATCCTAGGATAAAAATATAGCATAGGATTACAAACCCTAGGGGTAATTTACAAAAAGGTAAATTACACATCGTTTTAAAAAAAAATGGGTTAAGTAGTTTTTGAGAAAATGTAATGTAATTTAAAATTGTCCAAATTTTAAATTTCTTATAAATTTTTTTCAGCATTTTTATTTTTTTTTAATAAAATAATATTTAAAATGCATTGTAAAACATTTAACTTTTTTTGTAAAATATTTAACTTACCAATTTTGGTTGAAATTTTCCCATGGATGCTGTAGATAACTTAGCAACATCAATTTCTTTTGAAACCTTATTAATGCAAACAATCTTTTGTTAATAATTATACATAATTAAACAACACATTCATTGATAATTAAATTAAAAAATAAATAAAGATATTTCAAAAAAAATTAAATTATGAATTTAGTTTACCAGAAGTTTATGCTTTTTCACAGTAAAAAATTGTTTTGGTAACAAAAAAATTGTGTTAGTACTGTAAAAACAAAACCTTGATAACATAAATACAATATAAAAGTACTAATTATTTTTGTTACTAACTTACCCTGGTTTTGTCTTTTTCAAGTGTTGGTTTGAATTGTAAGCTGGAGACTGTGCCTAAAAAATGTTAAACAATAGTTGTGTCTAAATTATAAAGTTTTTAGTAATTGTTTACAAAAATCAAGTTTTAAATCCATTAAACAAATCATAATATAAAAATACAACTTGTTTATACTGAAACCTTTTTTTGTATTTCTGGCAATGTTACCAAGTCTTTTTATTTCATTTTTTGCAACTCTTTCTTTTTTAGCAATTTCTTTTTTTTCAAACTGATCTTCATTTGGATCTTAAATATTTATTATAAAAATTACAATTTTTTCTATGAAGTTTATTCACTTCTAAGTAAATATAACTTATGTAAAAGTATTATATACCAAAACCCATATGAAACAATGTTTTATACCAGCATTCTGTGGAACCTCAATACACCATTCTTTAGTATCATCTTTAGTTCGTTTGTACCCATGTCTTGGTTTCCATGTCTAGAATTGTAAAACGTATCAGAATCTGAACCAAAATCAGGCCTTTTGTGATGAAGCAGGAGCAATCGCTCCACACATGTGAAACACGCTTGTAAATGCCTTTTTAAGAGCAACAAATAGCGCTCACTAGTTTCGTTATGAAAGTAAAAAATCACGCTTTTGAAGAACTTGCAAGAGAGAAAATATAAGTGGATTTTTAAAAAAATATTTTTAGTTTAAATATTTAAATTTTTTTGCTGAAGTCAAAATATGTTTAAACAGTAGAGTTTGCATATTGTTAAATAAAGAAGTTATATTCGTAATAAAGTATGTCACCCATAATTTATGCGTAATGTACTTTAATTTTTATTTATGCAGCAAAAGTTCAAATTAAAAATGATATATTTCTTCTATTTGAAAGCTATATTCAGTATTTTTTTTTTTTAATTCCAGTTAAAATTTATCATATTATCCACTTAATTGTACTCTGGTAAAGTCAAGCCATTTGCCAACTCAGACAGTTTTTTACTGTCCATTTGACAAAAAACCTTGCTTAACTAAAACTTTTACTTTGAACTGCATTAAATTCCATGTTATAAAATATCAAAAACTAATATTTAAATATCTTATAAATAAATATCTAGTGTAAAAAATTTATCAAACTAAAACTTCATATATAGCTTTGATTTCATACAGGTTCGATCATATTCTATTAATTAATGACTATTATATTTAAAATTCAAAAACATCAAAACATTGGAATATCAAATATTTTTTGTCAAATATAAGTTAATAAACTAAATATTTTCATTGATATCTTCGTTAAGCTTATATTAATATCTAATTATTAAAAAAGTTAAAGCTAAATGAAGCTAAAAATTAAAAAAAAAGTTTCAAAGATTATTTACTTGATAATAATTAAATTGCACATTTAGTTTAAATTAGAATGCAGTTTTCTGTTTTGTAAAAACACTGTGAAGAGAAAGTTAAGAAGTCATTACATCTAACAGATGGAATGGATTTAAAACTACTTTAAAACTATTTTAAAAATGTTACATCCCAATAAGAATAAAAAATTTAAAGTAAAAAATTAAAATTTGATTGAATTATGAAAAATTAATAGTTTTAATTCACAAGATTTTGTAAAAACGTAAGTCATATTACATTATGTCATGTTATGTTGTCAACTTTTAGTATTTCGTTTTTATTTAATATTAAAGCTGCAGTAACATAATTTTTTCCGGTAGAACAAATGCATTAACCAAAGCTTTTTCATCTGACTTCCCGGACTTCCTTGTATGCGCTTATATGCTTTTGAGTAACCCTGTCACCATACTTTAGCATGTCATTTATGGATGGCCCCATGGTAACCAATTTCTAACTCTGAATATCACTCTTGAAGACTTGATGTCGAGCGCGCATAATCAGGCTCATTAATAACGTATTTCAGTATTACGAGCACAAAATATTGCACTGAGCAATTTTATCCCATGTACTGCAAAATCATTTTTTGATTTACCAATTCATGTTGTTGTTTTTTTTGCTATTTTAACTCCACTTTTTTGCATTATTTTAAACTACATAGCTCTAAACTTAATAACCAAGGCTACTTAACATTGATAATTGTCTTCAGGGCATCTGATATTGTACAATCTACTAAGTATTTAATATTAGGAGGTTTACTTTTTTGTGGAAGATTGCTAAGATGCAAGTTGAATTGACCATGGTATTGTCAAATTCTGAGTCATTAAAAAAATACATCAGTATAGTTTAAAATTTATTTTTGTATGATATTTTTGTATAAATTAATTTCTGTTGATAATTTCTAACTAAACAAAACAGTTTTCACACTGATAGTATTTTCTGTTTACAAGTATTTCTTCATATTACATAATTCAATTAAACAATAAAACACTTAGTAAATGACAAGTAATGACACATGCTAGTAGGACTGATGAAACTCAAGCTATCACATTTAGAATTCTTTTTAAAAAAATATCTTTATTTTAATTAATGAAATTTTCATTTCTTTTAATAAAATTGTAATTAGAACACACAATTTAGATAAAAGAGCAGCATTGACGACCTCAGGTCTAATCTATTGATGAAAACATTTTTATTTAGGTATGACTATTTTCCATACATGAAGAAGGTAGGACTATTTTAACACATGAGGGAGGTATGACTATTTTCCTCACACGAGAGAGGTATGATTATTTTCCACACAATTATTTAGACACCTACATCACAATTTTTTTTTGACTGATCCTTTTTTCTTTTCTCATTTATATTTTACATACATATTTTTAACTATTATTTATGATCACCTAACCCAATCATTATTTTTGGGTTTCTCTGTTCATTTTTATATCACTAATTTTTATTGGCTGTATTAGTTTACTTTACATCACCCGTGTTATACTACAAATCATTTATATTACACCATAAATTACCTATTTTACAAACAATTACAATTGCCACAGGATAGGATGTTAGTTCCAATTGTGCTATTTAAAGTCTCCTGTTTGAGTCATAGAACAGGGAATTTTTCATAATCAGGTGTGTTTAATCTATTGTTGATTCTTTGAGGTATGATTACATTGGTTAACAACTCTTTACACTAGTCACATAGGGGATTGACCCTACTCTTGAACAATTTTTGGTAGGTTGGTGAAATGCAAAGTCAGAAATTCTTTATGGTAAAATGTTTAATTCATTATGGACTCACTGATATGCAATATGCAACTGATAATACATTAGTAGACTAGTGATAGAAAACTCAGCAAAAAGTTTGATGTTCAAATCTTCCTTCTGGAAGTATTGTGCTCAGCCTGTCTCTCTATTTTAACAGCCTTGATAATTTAATAAAGTTTTTAAGAATTTAGAGATTGGCTTTCAGAGGTTAGGGTTGACAGAGTTTCAAATGAATTAAAAAAATAAATAATAATAAAAAAGTAACTTCCTCAACTGTATGGTCCCCTTCTGGAGCTTTGGAAAGGTTATTCTATCAAATATATATTTTTTTTATAAGATAGATAAACATGATTATATTTGATATACAATATATAATATATATATTTTAATATACTGCCATGTGCTGGCCTATGATTAGATCAAACATTATAATACATACAGGAAGGATCTTGCACAGCATACTAACCTATCCGTTAGCAAATACTACTCCCATTGTACAACCTAACATCTTTCGTACTTATTTTTTAGACAAAATTATTGAACTGGTCACATTAGATTGATATAACCTTTCACTTCATTTATAATTGCTATATAAGTTTCTTATTGCTAACTTTAATAGTAATTTTTTGTTTTTATTAACTTATTAACTCTGCTTGATTTCTTTACTTTAACCATTGTTAATTAGTTTTCTGTGAATTTTTATATCTATGTGTTAATACTGTTTATCATTAGAGATTTAATAAGTTACATAATTGTAATTAGCGTTAGTAGCGTAGTTCTCGTATTAGCCAGAATTTGCATTATCATTACCAGTCATAGTCAAGTAAACCATAACAATTTTCTAACTACTCTATCCTTCTATTTTTCATTGCCTATTGCTTCCCAACAACTAAAAAAATTTTACACAGTTTTAAACCCTTATATAAGTTTCAATGTTTTCAATGTTGATTTATAACAAACTTCAGTTAAAACATAATTTTGCATAAAGAAAACTTTCAGACTACGCGACTGATAAAAATGAAATAATGACAAATAAATAAACAAAAACTAAATGAAATAATGACAATAAATAAATAAAAGTTGTTTTATATTTTTTTAAATCAAATGAAGATTATGTGTTATATCATAACAATATATAAATATGTTATAACATATTTGTAATATAATACAACATATGTGTTATAACATATATGTAATATAATACAACATATGTGTATTATATTATGTGTTAATATACTATTATTATATGAATATCCAATTATACATGTTATTATGTGATTATGAATATTATATAATTTTTTGGGAATGGAAAAGAAAAATACTTACTTAGTTTCCATAATAAAATATTATATGAATGTTTCTTTTCCAATGTTGGCATAGGTTAATTGCTTTAGCAAATATTTTAAATAATATTCAAGAATATTACCACAATAAAGTGACAACAATACCATTTAAGGTCAAAGTTAGAGTTTTACCTTAGATTCTTCATCCCACAACATTCTGCTTCTCTTTTTTTTTTCAATACCCTGAATACGAAAAAATTATAAAATCACAACATTCTGCTTCTCTTTTTTTTTTCAATACCCTGAATACAAAAAGTAATAAAATTCTATTTTTGTTTTTCAAAACAAAAAGTAAAAAAAAATTTTTTTTTTTTAAATCAGGCTTTAAAAACTAACCTTCTTTTTGGCGTATATTTCCCATTTTGTAGGTGGCTTAGGTTTGGGAATCTGAAGATAGTAATTTAAATAAGGGATAATATTAGAAAGAAAAAAAAAGTGTTTAACTGATTAGTTTTAAATAAAATTCGTACTTACTGGTTTTTCTCTTGGTAAAAGTGTTGAAGGTTCTGGAAGCTGAAACAAAAATTAAAAAAAAAATTAGAATTTTTTACCTACCTTATAAGATTTGGTATCTGTTAAAAATAATGCAGAAAAAAAAAAAAAAGAATACAAATTAAAAAATTGGGTATTAAGAGTAAATGTTAATAACTGGAAGAATGAACAAATATAACTTTTATTTTAAGGAAAAAAAAAGAAAAGATGAAGTTAAAGTTATTAAAGAAAAGATGAAGTTAAAGTTATTAAAAAACTTATTTAGATACCACATATTTTAAACATTGATAAATTAAAGATGTTTTTAAAACTAAACTATTCTAAACTATTCTAATTTTATTCAAGTAAACTAAGAATATCAAACTAAACAAACACAAATTTAAAAATACTGCATTCTGTAAACATAATTGTGTCATTTATAAACATCTTTTTTTTTAAACATTTTTGCTTCCAACAAGGCTGCAAGCAACCACTAATTAGAGTTGGAAGTTACTGGAAGAGAAAAGATAAAGATTGTAGAGCAAGATAATGATTGACAGACGACAAGATTGCAAATTATATGAATCTGGAAAGCGAGTTGGAAAGTTGACTATTTGAGTTAGGGATTGAGAAAGGCAAAAGTTGTGGGTTTTAATGCTTTCAGAGTCACTGACACTAGAACCAAGCCATTCAGCGTGATGAACATTAAAGTCACCAACAACAACAAAATTGGCTGATGGATAAAGAGGCTTGGTCAGTATGATCAGAAATAACATCAAGAAGAGTGCAGTCTTGAGATAAAGGAAAGCGATATAAAACAAAGAGAAAGGTGATAGAGTGAAGTAGTGCTAAACGGAAGCATATAAAAGAGTAGTTTGCGGATTCAAACCTAGTTTCCCAACCAATGGGTGAATTCTTACAAATGTAAATGCCCAGGAATTAAAGGAAGATAACCATCAACACTAAGATCACCAGATGAGACAGCTGAACTCAATTTAGTCTCACAAAGAGCAAGTAGATCTGGTGAACTTTGCAAGAGATAAGACTCAACAGAAGAAAATTTATTTTGAAGACCACAAATATCAGGGAATGATGGATTTAGAGAACTTAATGATGATGATGATTTTTTGTGTTTTACAGTTTTAACATTCAAACCAATTTTGACAGTTTTGATGGTAACATTCAAACCAGTTTTGATGGTTTTTTGTGTCAGATAGTTCAGAACATTCAAATTAGATTTGATAGTTTTTTGTGTGGGATAGTTTTAACATTCAAACCAGTTTTGATTTTAATGGAAACTATGTATGTAGTAAGTATGATAATATTATAGACAACTAAAAAGAACTAAATAAGAAAATATAATTATGAAAATATAATTATTAAAAATATGACTGACTAGGAATTTTTGTAATGATTCCAGTTTGTGTAGTTAATAATAAAAGAAGTTTTTGTAAATTAATATTATTATAATGTTAAATTATAATAATTTTAATTAAAAAATATAAAAACAAACATTTGCAGACTTAAAAACCAATAAACTTTTTATATAACTTTTGTTACATATATTATGTTACAGCGTGTTGTTTATAAACAACTATATATTATTTATATACAAACAACTATACACTAACTATATATAAAGAACTATACATTAATTATATATAAACAACTATAAATTAATTATATATAAACCACATTATTTTTTACTCATATTATATTGTTAAACTACAATATATTAATAAAAATTGCACTTTAATAAAATTTATTTTTTATTTTTAATATATATTTTATCCATTTCACCTAGAACACAAATGTAGCTTTTCCTGGCACTGTGTATGAGTATATTTTTTCTAACTCTTACATTATTATTTTCTTATATTAAATAACTCTAGAAATATATAAATAAATAAACATTGTAACAAAAACATAAACTAGATCAACTTACTTTTGCTAAGACAATGTTATCGACACGCTCAATCGGAAGCTAATAATAATTATATAATGAATATATTATATAAACAATTAATTAAAAATAACCAAAAATAAACATATTGTGTAAAAATCTCACAAAAAAAAGATTTAATATGAAATTATTTATTAAAAATATTTTAAAAAAAGACTATAAAAAGCTATTATATACTATTGTAAATATTAAAATTGTATATATTTAAAAAAAATATTTGTAAAACTAACAAAAAAAATTTTTTTTTTTTTTTTAAATTATTAAATTACTTTTTTTATCAAATTTTATTACTAAGCACATACCTTCCATATCTGATTGAACAAAAGTTGCGCATTATCTCGTGCAAGTTCAATTAAAAACTGCTCAGATTTCGATCTAGAAAAAATATTCAGATAGAGAAAAGATAACAAAAAATATAATGGAAAGCATTATATTTCTTAAAATTTATTCTATTAAAAAAAAAAATTATTTTGCATAAACTCCCTGTGTACCTATTTTCTTAAAAATAGTTCCAAAAAAATTATTAAAATCAACTGTTTTAGTTCCCTATTCATTAGGAAAGTTAAAACAGAGATTAAAACAATATAAAAAGTTTATGACAATTAAACAGAAAATAAATTTTAAATAAGTTTGAACTCAACTTTTTTCTCAATGCTCTGACTTAGTTCTTGTTTTGAAGTTAAAAGAATGAGAAAGAGTTGAAACAAGTTATAGAAAAAAAAAAAAAAAAAGGAGCCTCATTGACTGGAGTTGCACACTTGGCCTTAAGGAGGTGAATATGACAAAAATGGTTATCTATTTACTTTAGATAGATAAATAAAAATCTCTAATTTTTTAAATTATTAAAGCAATAAATCGTGCATCTAGTTTAATTGTTTTATTTCTTTTATTTAATTTTGAAATTTAAGTTTATTTATTAATTAATCTTTTATTTTAATTTCAAACATTTGTTTAGTATAATATAATTATTATTAAATTAAATTATGCAAAACTATAACAAAACTTATGAATATTAAAAATGAATTACATATTGAAACAATATTATTGACACCAACCAGAAAGTCAAGGCAAAATGCTACTAATTCTATAATCAGTCATGTGTAGCATTAGGCTATGTATATTTGCATAACATGCTTAGAGCACTTACAAAATGCCTAATCCCCTTCCCTCCCCCTCTGTGAAAGTGAATATGAAGAGTTCATTACCAAAATATGGTATGACCAATTTTGTTTTTATGTACTAATTTTTTTTCCAAAAAACTTTTATTATTTTTATTTATTTTATATGTGATAATATATTTTGAAATGTATAAATATATTATTTAGTGAACCTTATATGGAATGAAAATTCAATTGCAAATTCAAAATAAAATAAAAATTTAAAAATTTATAAAATTTTTTGTATCTTTATTCAGATTTTTATCAAATCTACAATTGCTTGGCAACTTTTACAAGCTCAAAAGAATAAACCTAACTTTTTAAATATAATAATAAAACTTTGAGAAGAAAATTTTATATTCATTATTTAGAACTATTATAATATAAAAATATTTTTTCAAAAAAATTTTTTTTTTTTTTTACTTACAAAGCAATTAAAAAGTAGATGACAAAACAAAACAATAACTGTTAGTCACAACTAGAAACTGTTGCTAATTAAAAAAAATCAAGAATTTGGAAATAAATATTTAAAAAAAAAATTACTTAACTAATTCTTTTAAATAAAATATCAAATTTTTATTGAATAAATCATTGGATTTGAATGAAACACTAGTTTTAGTGGTTCAGTGTAGAGCAACAATTCAGCAATTCTGTTACAGAAAAATAAGGTATTGGATTTAATTCAATGAGTTTTTATTTTTAAATGCATTAAAACTCAGCTTTAAAAAAATAATACTAAAACTCATAAAGCATTCTTTTAAACTAATCAATAAAACAGAAATCTAATTAATAATAAAACATAAAAAAGAAAAAATATCTTTAAAAAACTTAACTAAAAATTTGACTACTTAAAGCCATTAAAATCTATTAAAAAAAAAATTTGTTATTGAAATAAACTACTTTTTTTATAATTTTATTTTTCATTTGTTATATTTAAATTACATAATACTTATTTTCTAACATTTCTTTATGAAATAAAGACAACTTGTTTTTGCAGTTACAAATGATCATAAATCATGATCTTTAATAAAAAAAAATTATAAGAACTGGACTTCAATTCATGTTTGGGATTTGCATGATGATGATTTTGATCTAGATGATACATTTGCATTTGAGAGATTTGCCATGCTGTTATTTTCTAAATATAAAATTTGAATTTCCAGTGACCTGATTCACAGTGATTAGAATTTCAAATTCTTCTAATTCCAAAAGCATTTCAAGTATGGTGGTTTAAAAAACAACATTTTTGAAAAATATTTGCAGCTTGCACATTAAATGTGTTCTATATGATAAAATAACATTCAATTTATAGTTTTTTAAATGAAAAAAATTTTTAGGGGTGCCTCTTGAACATTTAATAATAATAATAGGCCCGCAGATGATTGGCTTTCGAATGACATTGCCAAACAGCTTTGCATTAAAGACTCAAAAAAGACTCAAGAAAAGACTCAAGGCTTGAATTAATTGAGCCCAGTGTTAGTAAGTTTCCAGATTTGGCAAGACGATTGGATTTGACGTCACACCAGGTGCAAGGGTGCGTACTTGAATGAGTTTGAAGACCACAAATTATATTTGCAACTTTCATATCACAAGCCAAAATTAGTTTAACTCCATTTGCACTAATCAGTGACCAGATTTGTTCAATATTGAAGTGTGTTTCTGGCAAATCTTCTGAAACCCTAACAAAATTTTGTTTCTTGACTCCAGTGTCTTTACCAGTCCTTTGAGTGAGAGGTTGTTGTTGGTGTGGTGAGCTGGTTTCATCCCTTAACACAGTATCAACAATGCTAAGGTAAAACTTGAGAAAATCTTTGCCACCATCAATTCCGAGCTTAACAAAATAGCCATCAGAGATTTTGTGGGACTGAATAACATGATTCACAAGACTTGATAAATCATTGCAGTGAGCAACAACATGAACTGTACAAGAATCTGTTTTTTCGTCTGTGATTTTTAAGTCGCTGCAGGTGAAGAAATTGCTCAATTGTTGACCTAGTCTTAGAAAATTCATGTACAAATTTTGCTCTACCATCTGCTGCTTGATGTTTTGTTTACAGTTCTAACAAGTTTCTTTAATCCGTTGTTTGACAGGCCCATATTTAATTGCACATTTACAAGGGCTACAGTGGTCAATTTCGAAGCACTTGATGGTGTCTGCGCACTACTTTGACCTAAAACCAGAACATACATATTTTATAGTTACAACAAACTTTGTTTAGTAAGTTTGTGTAAAACTTTCAAATTATTTGTTTTTAAAGAAATTAGAAACTTGTCAAAAATATACTTCTTGAAATCTATCTAGTTTTATTTCTTAATAGTCAAAACTTTATTTCAATATATATGTTAAAATTATTTAATTATAAATATTTACCAGGGGTAACTGTAAGTGGAGGCCCGCGGGATGCTTTAGCCAGTAGAATAGTTGCTTCCGGAGAAAATTCTTTATTGGAAATAACTTGAGATGCGATTTGTTTGGGTGATTTGGCATCTTTTGCTGCTAAAGATTGGATGTTTTCCCTTAGCATTATTTGGGAGTATTGGTGGGGCAAACCTTTTCCTTAAGGGCTGAGGCATTTGCTGCAACGCACCTTTGGTTTTTTCTTAATAGTGGTTTGCTCTATAAGAGGATGTTTTTCTTGCAGCTTTGAACAACAAATTCAGCATATTAGGCAACAACGCATTGTGCCTCTTGTTTCAGGTCTCACTTGTAATGACTTAAAATCAAACAAAGGAGGGAGTGCAACTTCTTTCCCCTTTTGTTTCCTGCGCAAAGTAATTCTACACGATTTGCAGAATCCTTTTGGTACCCGAGTATCACTGATATCGATCTTGGTCTTGTACAGTTGGCATATTCGATCTGCTTGAAAAGTAGTAAGCTGTCTTAAATATTTTTTCAGACAGAACAAACACACAAACTTTCGATTTTCATCATAATTTTTTGCTTGATTTGGCGTCGTGGCAATTGACTAAATTTGACTTCACTAAATCAAACTCTACCTTTTACAAAATTTGATCTAAATTTATATTTGATAACAATCCACTTAACATAGTAACACTTATTATTAATTAAAAACTATTAAAATAAAGGAAATATTTACTTGATTTAATTGAGGTAATATTAAATTACAAGGAAATAATTCTTATATAGTTCTTTCCTTACCAGGAAACAATTGTTTAAACTATTTACTTGTAAGGAAATTATATTATTGATAATTGTCACACTTATTAAACTAATGATACTTGTCACACTGGTTGTTTTTTTTTTTCAAAACAACCATTCAACCTAATTATTTATTCAGTTAGAGTAATTTTTCTTTGACTGGCCCTCCAAACTTTGTATTGGTCAGATATCTTAGTTAACTTATCTAAATTTTTTAAGTCAATTATCTTTGTCAATATAAAAAATATTTGTTTTTTTTACAGTTGTTCTGCTTTCAGATAAATAAATATAGTTTATACCTTCGGAAATAATGGTATATTCACACTATACATACATAGCAGTCAAGGGAGCCATGGCCCACTTTTTTTTTGCGAGGACCTTTTGTTGTAGAAATATAGGTAATTATTTCAGATTTTATTTTAGAACCAAAGGTGTTGACCCCTCCACTTTGAAGGCTGTGTCACCGCCATTGGCATAAGCCAATTCAAATCACACTTTAAGTAGCAAATCACTATTTTGGTCTATAAAATGAAAACTGTACATGTACCAATAAAATAATTAGATTAAAAATTGTTGGTGTTACATAGTAGAACACTCATTTAACTGTTATTTTAAAAATAGTGACCAAAATTTCTAAGTAATCAGTAATGCTTTGAGGTATAAGTAGCAAAAAATTGACAAAACTTCAACTAAAACTGCAATAAATCCTACACCAGTCATCCAATCAGGCTGAAATTTTGTCCAGAGTTTGGTGTGACTATTGGCTACATTTGCACCAATTTGTATCATATTATATTGAGTGGTTCAAATTCTACAAGGGTTTTTATTGGCACACTATGAAGTCAAAATTTGACTTAATTTGAACATTCAAATTATTTTCCGCAGACAAAATTAAATGATTTTAAAATTAGCATTACACGGTACCTTGATGTGTACGCTAACTTTCCATATAAGTGGCGTTCTTGGGATAGCTAGGTAGGCATTACAAGCATCTGTGCTAACCGTGGGTAACTATTTTTTAAAGTTTTAAAGGACATCTGCAAAGAGTTTAATATATAATTAAATAAGAAACTTCTTTTATGAATGTAACTATATTATTGTATTTGAAATTGTTATATAATTTTACTTTATTTGAGACCTAAAAAGACATAAATTTTGAAAAACTTTTTTTTAATAATAATTAATTTTAAAAAATAGTAACTTTTTCTTATGCAAATTTAAATTCAAAAAAAAAGGTAAAAAATAATTTTTAATCTTTAAGCATTAATGTTTGAGATTGTCTTACAAGTTTGAAAAAAAAGTAAACCATGTAAGACAAAGTTTTTTCTGACTTCAAATTGAACCTGCAATAAAAAGTTAAAAATACATTGCAAATTTGATAATCTGATAAGATTAAACTAGAAGAACAGTGTTTGCAGAGGACAAATTTTATATATATATTTGGCTAAAGCCTATTAAAAAAATTATTTTAACTATATTAATTAGCGAAATAATTAAAAAAACATAATTAATTCAAACTTCAAGAAATATTAATATAGAATAAAATGGTCAATTGATATTTTGAAAATAATATTCTAAAAAAAACTTAAATTTTAAACTTTAATTTTAAATGCAAAATTTAGGCTTAACCCTTTATTTACCGACGGGACTTATTAGTCCCACTGTAAGTTAGTGCCTATTTTTTTCAGTGAGAATGTAAATTATTGATATTAATTTATTGAAATTAAAAATTATACCTTCTACTATCTTGATATAATAAAATATCATTAAAGTCATTGTTCAAAAGCACATATTTTTGTTTACAATATGTCTACTAAAGCTTGCAGTTCTAATAAATTTTTTTCTTGATTTGAAAGTTGTATATAAATAACCTTAAATATGTTAGTGCATTGGGAATTTTTTTGATTGATGTTTATTATAGTAAATAAATACTTATGGTGTTTTAATGAGTTTTTATTGCATTTTTATATTATATTTTTGTAAAACTTGTTGTGGGACTTATATTTCCCGTCAGGTGTTTTAGACTCATTTTTGACTGCTTTTGACTATACAATGTATCTCAACGTATTAGCATAGATGAAAGTATGATTCTCTTTAAGGGTCGGAGCAGTTTAAAACAATAAAATCCAATGAAACCTATAAAAAGGAGTTTTAAATTGTGGGCCATTGCTGACATGGATTGATATATGTATCATTGTGAAGTTTATCAAGGGAAAAACAAAATTCACAGTGATGATTTAATGCCTAAGCATTTCGGATTAGGAGCATCGGTCGTGTACCAACTAACAAAGACTTTGCACGGAAAACATCATTAGGTCTATTTTGACAACTATTTTACCACTGTTCCATTAATGGAATACCTATTACAACATAAAGTCTATTGTTGTGGAACAATACGTTCAGACAGGAAATAACTCATTTATTGCATTCAATAAAATTACCGGAGCCAAAATGAAAAGTCTTTTGTTTCGAAGAATGGTATCGCAATCTTTAATCACTCCATGGCGCCCTATAAAAGTAGGGCGGCCTTTGTTATCTTCAACCCAGCAAGGCCCATCAAAAAAAAGAAAGTCACTGACTTATTCGATATCCTCAGCTATTAGAAAAGAAAATTTAGGTGTTCATTGGCCAAAATTTGACAGTAGCCGTGTTCGTTGCAAGGTATGTGCACAAGAGAAACGAGAAGCTTGTCCGCATATAAAATGTAGTGCTTGTGAAGTATACTTATGCTTGATTGATAAGAGAAATTTGTTTTGCTAAGCATCATGAATTGTAATTTATCACAGAAAAAAAACCCATCTATAATATGAACATTTTTTATCATGAACTAAGAAAATATTTTGTTTCAAAATGTGTTGTTATAATCTAAATTATTCATAATTTGTTTGAACAAATTAATTGTATTTTAATTTGAACTTTCAAAAATGTTGAAACCGAAAATACCCGACAGGACTTATTTGTCCCAAACTTATTTCCATGGCAAGAGCAAAAAATTTTTTTAATGTTTTAATGTTTTTTCATTCTACAAAATAGATGTTGAAAAAAAATGTCAATAGTGTCAACAATTTTAAAAATTACCTTACCTTGGTAAATAAAGGGTTAAAGTCATTTAAATATTTTAAAATATTTTTAGGTACATTGATACATTTATGAGACTAAAAAAAAAGATGTCAAGATGTGTTGAGCATCAAAAATATAGCATTGAAACACTTAAAAGATGGATGATTGCATCCCAAGATATGTAACCCCAGAATACGGAATTAGGAAAAAGAGAGTCATTTAAAATATGAAAAGCTAGAATTTGACAAGAGTTGAAAAGTGGGTAAAGCTACAGTTACGCGGCCTAAAATAATTACATTTTTGCACTTGTTGCGCCAGGGGGTTTTGCTACATCGACTATCTTATAGCCTGACTCGCAACAGAGTGCTGCTACAAGGAAGTGCTGCTACATCGACTGAGGGTTTGGCATAGGGCAGCAGTCTTTTTTCTTTTATTATTTCAATTATATTCCTATTGTTTGTAAAGCCTCTATTGACAAGCGGAAAAATAAAATTATTTTAGGCCGCGTAACTGTAAGATTATCAAAAAGTGGAGAAAGCAATATTATAATTTGAAAAAAAAAAACAAGAGGGCTATTTTTTAATAAACTTATTTTTTTTTTAATTATTTACTCAAACATTTTTTTTATTTACTTAAACTATTTGATTAATTTACTCAAAACAATTGCTCAATTTCCTTATTCAATAAATTTACTTAAACTTTTTAATAAATTGGACACCATTAAAACTTGGCAGTTAGGTCAGCATTGCCGAACACCAACCCTAATTCCGAGGGCTGATATACATTATATATATGTGTGTGTGTAAATTTTATATTTTAAGGCGACTATGTACTCCAAGAAAAAGAAAAAAGAAATTTAGAAGTACTAAATAGCTATCTAAAAAGCTGTCTTAAATACTTATTAAAAAATTCAAATGAATTTCAATTAAAAACTAAATAAATATCAATTATGAAGACAATAAAAACCGAACTGTGTAATTAAAGAAAAAAGAGAAAGTCAAGTAGCGCCAAAAATGACGTTATTTATATTATACATATTTTAGTTTAAAGTAAATTATTAATACGTACTTTACTATAAAGTTTATAGTAAAAGAGCTTATAGTATTATAAAACAAAAAACAATATGTATAGGTAAATATCCTGTGATATACAAAACGTAGCTCAGATATTTTTACGCATTTTTATGTATCAGATACATTTTTTTTAAATCATTGTTTAAATGTTGTGTTAAATCTTACTTTAATTCGTCTGAATTAACAGGTTGTAGATCTAATAATAGTAGATTTCCTAGATCTATAACTGGATCTACTTCTTTAAAAACATCAATAGATTTAAATTTTGACTCGTTTTCACGTTGATTTGCAACAATTTGAGATACAGTGTCAACTTCACTTGATGTCATTTTTATTTTTCAAACCACGCTTTTGGGTCTCGGTTGTCCCTGTCTAAACAAAAAAGCTTGGTCGTCCAACTTTTGACAAATCGAAATTTAAACCAAGTTGTTAACGCGCAAAACGCTTTCAAATTGGTCGAAATTATATACGCTAAAAAAAAAGCACGCTTAAGATTTGCTTATGAACATACGAACTGGGCAAGAGGAAAATGGTCAAAAATACTTTTTAGTAATCAATCTAAGTTTATGTTATTAGGATCTGATGGTATTAGATATGTTCTTCAACCAAAAGACGATAGAAACAATCCTAATACCAACTACCAACAGTAAAGAAAGGAGGTGGAAACGTTTGGGATTGCCATATGTTCTGGTCTTATCCATTCGAATAATGGCATAAGGAACTTTCCAGAATAAAATTAACATTAGTAATCACAATAGACTTATTTTTTAATAGCCGAGTAAAACTATTATTCAGTATCAACTTCTTTGACGGCCTACACTTTAAAGGTTCTTTTTTTGTCATTGTACTATATAAAATAGTTCTGTGTCTGAGCCACAGAGCTTTTTATACGGAGCAACCTGATTTTACAAAATATTGACTAGGTCCAAATAACCTAAGTATTTTATTTATAGCTTTATATATAAATACATATATATATATATATATATATATATATATATATATATATATATATATATATATATATATATATATATATATATATATATATATATATATATGTATAAATATATATATATATATATATATGTATATATATATATATGTATATATATATATATATATATATATATATATATATATATATATATATATATATATATATATATATATATATATACACACAAACATTAAAATTACTCACTCATATTAACTTGATGTTATCAATGTTGTTGATTTGTTACTAAATGTTAGGTTTTAATTAACCTAAGTTTTTTTTGCATTGTTGCAGTTATAAAAAGAAATAGTATCGACAGAAACACATCAATTAAAACTTTTTTTTATTTTACGGAAACCGGTTATGCAAGTGTTATTGTACCTAAATCTACTAAAAATGTAAACAAAAAAGATTCTCTTAGAATAAACCGATGGAAAACTTATAAATTATCAATAATTAGTAGTAAGTATTCAGAATATGGAATATCATGCCGCGGACCAAAACTATGGAACAATTTTCAAAAAAAAACATTAAACACGGTAAAATTGTCAAATTCCTTTAAGTTTGTAAGATAAAATAAAATTTTTAAATTAGATAATTTTCTTGATTTTTCAGAATTATTTTATTCTTTCAAAATTACTTTATTCAAAATTAGTTTTTTACTTGTTTAATTGGCTCTTATTTTGATATTTAACAGATTTGCCAGTATATTTAAATGACTATTACTAAAACTATATTGATATTATTTACTTTCTTGATTTAATCAAAATATTTATGCAAACTTTTTATTAAATTGGAGATGTACAAAGTTTTTTTAACTACCTTATTTTATTTTAACTTGTAAAACCCACATAAGGGCTCTATGAAAAATTGTAGTGACTTTAGTCATCCTTTCTTTGAGCCCCTGCCTGTTATTTATATATCCACTTTTTTATATTTAAACGTTTTATATGTAAACGTATTTGTAACTATATTTCTTATTATATAAACAGCAACCAGATATTAAAAAAATATTTTTTTTTGTTAAACTCACAAAACTGGATTTGAGCATAGTTTAGAATAACATATAGTCAAGTATTGAAAAATAATGTAATACTTAACAACGTATAAAAAGTATTTAGGTAAGATTGATGTAATATGAGCACCTAAGTAACATGAGCATGTGTAGACTTTTTTTACATTCAACAAAATGCCAGATGCTTTGTGTAAATTATTTTCATATATTTCTTACATTAATCTACTTAATTTAATGTGATAAGGAAGTTATAAGCTGGTGTCTTCTAAGGTCCATCTAACCCACTCTAATCCATTCTAATCCATGAAAAAACCTTTCTATTGATTACAAAGAGATTTAAAATTATTTTTTCATTTTTTCACTCAAAACGGGATTTATAAACTATTTTAAAAAATATATTTAAAAAAAAACATATACTTAAAAAATATATTTTTAAAAAATATATTTTTTAAAAGAAATATAATTAAGAGTTTTTAACCGGAAGGTTTAGTTAAGAGGATTCTGAATTAAACAAAATTGTTTAAAATCCTTGATGTTCATTTCGCAATTAATCTTTCCGAAATAATTCGCAAGTTGAATTTAAAAATAAAGTTTGTTTGCTATTTAAAAAACTATTTTATAGTTTTGTTTTGTTTTTTTATTTACATTAGTTTGTTGTTGTACAATTATGTAGTGATAGTAATGAAAAATAAAAAAATGAAAAATAATAAAAAATATAAACTAAAAGAAGATCACAATTTCTTGTCATCAGGACAGTAGCGTAGAAACAAAAAATAGGCCTTCCGCAAAATTTAAATCTGGGACCCTAAATTACTCCTCTTCCCCCTCCTCTCTCTTCCCCCTCCTTGACAATAACTATACATGGAAAAAAAAAACCTTGTTCTTAACTACAACTTTAATTTAATGAAATAGAAACCAGTAACACCATGTAAGTCTGGTAAGTAGAAAATCTAATGAAACTTTTTTTCTTATTTTCATAGCTGCAAATTGGTCTATAACACCTTTTAAATTTAATTGTGCTGCTATTTCTGCTTCAATAGCTGTTAGGTTTAGTGCAGACAAAATGATTTGCGCCACTGTTGTCCTTAAATGTGTTTTAATTCTTTTTAATGTGCTTAAGTATCTTATTGTAGTCACCATGCTAACAGGTAATGTCAAATATAGCAAGTACTGCAATTATATTTGTGACTGAGCAATTTATATCAAAGTATGATATTGCGGAGATAAATAAAATGCAAAAATGTGGAAGTTTTCAATGTGTAAAATGAAGGAAAATGTGTAAAGTGCGGAAAATTTCCCTTAACCCTAACCTTTTCGGTCCCCAACCCAAATACTTGTTCAATGATGATAGATTCAATATTCTTATTTTTTTGCTGTATTAAAGATGCCTCCAGCTGGAACCCCATTTTGTTGCTTTACGTTAAACAGATTCAACCGAGGTTTTATCAGATTTTAAATAGACAGTTTGTATTTATGATACATAACTTATGAAAGTCTTTGTTGGTTTGCAGCGAACATGTTATTATTGTTAATGTGCTTTAGAATTTTGTTTTGATTTTTGCTGACAACAGAGGTAAAACAGATTGATAGTTTTAAGCAAGCAATTTATTTTTTTTTATCCGTTTTTTATAGACCGAACTTAAATTCGCTAATTTCCAGAGAGTGGTTTCAGACTCCAGAAATAAAAGATTTATGAAAGATTTTTGTTACTGGAAAAAAAATTCATAGGTGTTTAGATCTTTTGCGTTGCGAACATCGTGGGGAACAGACGCGTTTTTCTAACAGTAAAATAATTTAAAAAAAAAAATTTTATCTTGTTTAATAAAATTTGGAATGTCTAAATCAGAAGAATTAGTCTCAATTTCTATGATGAGAGAACTTCTTAATATTCAAAAAGAAACAATTCTATCTTTTTTCCGTGAATTACTATTTAGCATAAACGAAAAGTTTGATAACTTTCAATCTAGTTTTGAAGAGAAGTTCGGCGAGAACTTGATGAAATGAAATCTGGCTTAAATTTTGTAGGCGATTTTTTCAATGATAAAGCTTGAGCAGTTGAGGAAAAAATAAATAAATTTCATGACGATTTATCAAATGTAAGAAAAATGCAGGGTAAAATATCTTCGGACAATATTGAATTAAAATTAAAAAGCGTCGATATTGAAGACCGGAACAGAAGAAATAATTTAAGAATTGACGGGATTGTCGAAAATAGTGAAGAAAAAGATTGGGAAATCACAAAAAAAAGGGTACAACAACTATTTAAAGATAACCTTGGTATTGAAAAAGACATAATTGAACGGGCTCATCGAGTGGGAGCAACTAATGATAAACGAGAGCGAACAATCGTCTTGAAACTCCGTGATTACGAGGATAAAAAAACAATTATGGAGAGAGCAGTTAAATTAAAAGGAACCAATATTTTTTAAACGAAGATTTTAGTTTCACAACCCGAAAAATTCGAAATGAACTTTTTGATCAGGCGAAGATACATCATCAAAATGGCTATTTTGCGAAAGTTGCCTACAACAAACTTATTGTTCACGAATTTCGAGAAAACACCCGCAACACAGATGTTAATCCGACATGCGTCAACGAGTAAGCGTTTTGATTATTTTTTTTTTATTATATTGAATATTTTTAAATTAGTTATTTTGAAAAAAAACTAAAAAATGGCGTCGCTTTTTTCAGAGAAATTAGATTTTCATAATTTAAATTTAGATCTTTTTGAGGACAACTTTATAAATAATCTATCTGAAGAAAATATAAATGTTTTTCAAGAAACTTAATTAACACACCGTACACGGCGTTAATTTTTGTCCAAAAATCTTTCAGCGCGAATTGCTCGCGCGACTATTAAAACTAAATGTCGTGTAGACTGGAATATTTTTACGTTTGGTTCAGTCTAAACTAAAATATGCAGTTAAGTAACCAAGGATCATGGCTTAATTGGTCTGAAGTTGAATGTTTTTATGTGTTAATATGTTGAAATAGGAGTTATATTTTTTGTTCATAAAAGAATATATGTATTTTTACACAATCTTCGTATTATTTTAATCATAATAAATAAGTCTACAAAAAGATGCTCGATAAACCACTATGTTAACTCTTCTATACACACAGTTTTACATTTGAAATTGATACTTACATTAATATCTTTCTTTTTAGCTAGAGATTTTGAAAGTTAATGAATATATCTTGAGATATCATATTTTTTCTTATAAAAATTTACATTTTTGATTTTCAAAAAGTCTTAAAACCTAAAATAATGAATTAACTTTAAAATCTCTAACTAAATATGGACCTAACACACTAAGGACCATTTGTGGAATTTTTTTATAAATGGAGTAAAAGATAAGTATGAGTTTATCTCTGATGTTTCTATGTGACTTTTTAACTAATTTTCAGTAAATTGGCAGCCATTTTTAAAAAATATTTTTTTATTATTTGATTAAAAAACAAACAAACTATTTTTTAAGACTTTATCTTGAATGTTAAATGTAAATGTTATAGAATTTTTATTTATTTCTCGCTTAACATTAAAAAAAAAAAAGTTTTGATTTTATATTTGAAAAAATATATTTTATGAAAATAATATTTATTATTAGGTATATATATATATATATATATATATATATATATATATATATATATATATATATATATATATATATATATATATATATATATATATATATATATATAAATAAAACAGTATAAAAAAATGTTTACAAATATCTTAACTTGCAACGTGTGACAGGCTACACATCAGTGTTGTCCATCTTTAATCGAGAAATGCATTCAGAACATTTTATGAAGTAAGTTTATGTTTATTTTACATTATTGTGTTATTAGAATATTTAAACACACTGAATATTATTTTTTATTTTATTTGGCTGAGGTAAGCAGGCTTTGAGATGAAAAAAAAATGCTTGAAAGTTTTTGAAGTTCTAAGTTTTATCTTTTTATCGTTTATATTAGTTATTATTTTTACTTTTATATTTTTGTTTTCTGTTTTACTCCATATTTGTGAATTTCAAAGTTATGTTTATTAAATTTTAAATTTGTCTGGATTTTATTCTGCATTTTTTTTTTGTATACTTGTATTGTAACTTCATTAAATATTTTTATGAAGGATAAATATTTTACTTGGTTACATATTATTAGCTTATTATTAAGTTGATAAACAAGTTTATTATTGATTACAACGGTGTTATTGAAATTATTGAAAGACCTCTAGTAATGCAAAGACTGGTACTACTGTGAATAAAATGTGTAAACAGCTACAAAAAAGTAATTTAGGAATTATAATTAGTATATTCAAACAGCTATTTGTTACATTAAATAAGTAATGAACTAAAGTGTTCACAAGTTTTCTATTTTTCTACAGATATAAATGTTTTATATTATTGATTTTTTATACAAATGTTGGTGTATATCTTAAAAAACTGTGTTTCTCTCATTTATATTCATTAATATCCATTTATATGTTGCATGTTCAAAAACCAAAACAATTTGTAAGGTTGTTTTTCAAAGTTGATAAACATCTGATAAGGTATCAGATATACTTTGTATGAGGTTATAGTAATCTGATATAAGGTATTAGCTTATTCAAAACCTTGATGTTTGTGTTAAGGTTACCTAAGTAAAGCCATGATCCCAGTAGGGATGTGGAGTATTAAAAGGACTCAGGATTTGTATGTCACAAAAAGATTACTTTAAGTATTGTGAATTTCAAAATAGGTATCAGAGATGTAATGACTTGCAAGGTTGCTCAGTTTTATGACTTTTTATTAAAAAAATTATGCTGACAAACATCAAAAAGAATGTACAAGCAACAAATTTTTTGGCTTCATTTTATTTCTGAAAATTCTTTTGCATTTTGATTATATCTCAATTTTTATATAACCTTCATAAAAAAGATAAGATATTCAAAATTTATTTCTATTAGTTTTTGAAAATATTACCTGTAAAAAATATCAATAAGATGGCATCTTTCCTTATGTTATGCTATTTCTTTTTTTTAATAAATTAAGGTGTAGATATATATAGTAGTTCTATTGGTTAAGGTTAAGTTATTATATTCGTTTAAGAATAAACTATTCTATTAGTTTAAGATTAAGTTATGGTTACCTATTTAATCCACAATACATCTAAAGCTTGGCTGTTCAAAAAGCTATGCAAATTACAGTGTGTGTAGATTTATAAAATAGAATTTACAAATTGGATGAAAATAGAACATGTATGATAAATTGATAGGACAGTAGTAAAATTTTATTTTTGTTTTTTAGGTATTGGCAGGCTGTACCTGACGTCTTACTTTCTTGCAACGAAATCAAAAGAACTACAAACCAATTAAATTAATTTTTATAGCAGCATTTTTTTTGAAGAATTTTTTTTTTTAAAGAATTTTCTTTGAAGAATTTTATTTACTAATCAGATTACTTGTATTTCATAATTTCTTTAAATTATTTTTGGAGATTTTTGGATTTAAATTTTGGTGTTATACAAAATTTTAAGTTTAAAAAATTATTTTACATATAGATTCTTAGATTTTTAATAATTAATTTTTATTCAGAAGTACAATTATAATTGGAGTGTCCAGTTTTTGTAATCTTTTTTCTACAAATATCAATTTGATATTATGTTATCAATGTGAAAGTATAACCTCAAGACATAATTTAAAAAATGGTAGGATGACGTACATAAACATACGCTTTGTTTTCTTATAAGTTTAGCGCAAAATGTCTGTACCGATAGAAACCACTCGCAAAATCTTTTGATATTGATTGGTCTTTTAAAATTTTACTGTTATTTTTACATGGTTTCTACTTACTATGACAGTAAGTGTGAAAACGCGCGCAAACTGGCAATCGGGAGATTTTTGAACTAAAGTTAACGCCGTGGTATATTGATCCTTTTGATTTTAAAGTAAAAACAGACGATGGTTTATTTTCTGTATTACACATAAAAATTAGAAGCATGCAGCAAAATTTTGATAAACTTAAAGAATTTTTAAATATTTTAAATTACACGTTCGACGTCATATCTCTTTCAGAGACTTGGCATGATACAGAAAGTTATACAAGAAAATACCATTATACAAACTAATTAGTCAACCACGATGTGGTGTGAAAAAAGGAGTAGGATTAGGAATTTATGGTTCTAGGAAAAAATCCCCCGAGAAAAAATCCCCCCGGAAAATATCCCCCTAAAATCAAAAAATTTTTTTTTACTTAAAAATTTATGAATATGTAGTTATGTTTATTTCTTTATTTATTTTAAATATTTTTATAAAACACTTCATTTTTCATCAAAATGTCAAGTTAAGCGCTATTCCTTGAAGGAAGCGAATGTGAAACCCTAACCTAACCCTAACCCTGACGAACTGCGAACTGGTAAAGTGTGAACTTTTTTGCGAACCATCGTAGTTAATATAGCGGTATATTTTAAGGACTTTTAAGCGAAAAAATTAAGTGAAACTAGACGAATACAATATGAAAATATCTATATTATTTTTTAATTATTTGATAGACTGCCTGCCCAAACCAAACCCTCAGTCGATGTAGCAGGGCTCCATTACGAGTCAGGCTATTTGTCAGTCAATATAGCAGCACTCCGTTACGAGTCAGGCTATAAGATAGTCGATGTAGCAACACTCCGCGCATGTGTTAAAAAACAAAAATTTTATTTTAAATAAAGCTTTAAAATAGATAATTAAGAATTGGAGAGTTTTTTTATCATTATTTTTATCTTAAAAATAATGGTCTTTAAAATGTTTTGTTTCGCAAAAAAGTTTGCATTTTACCGGTTCGCAGTTCGCATTTTACCGACATTTTGATGAAAAATTAAATTTTTTTTTTTTTTTTTTTGGGAGGGGGGATAATTTCCAGCGGGATTTTTTCTCGGGGGGATTTTTTCCGGGGGATTTTTTCCAGGGGGATTTTTTCTCAGGGGGATTTTTTCTCAGGGGGATTTTTTCTCGGGGGATTATTTCGGGGGGATTTTTTCCTGCTACCGGAATTTATGTCTTGGAAAAGTATTCTTTCAAGATAAAAAAACATACTATGCTTTTCTAATAATAATTATGAAAGTCTTTTCATTAAAATTATTAATAAAAAAATACCTAAACGTTTTAGTTGGATGTGTTTATCGTCCACCGAGTGGAAAAATAAAAACCTTTGAAAATTTTATCAAAAATACGATTATAAAAATAAATAAAGAAAATAAAACATTATATATTACTGGTGACATAAATCTTGATGCTCTTTCTAACACAAAATTTCCAAAAATAAAATCTTTTTTTGATATGCTTTTTAAATTTAATGTCTTGTCAACTATTAATAAACCAACGCGAGTAACAAAAACCTCGAGAACAGCAATAGACAATATTTTTATTAATAATTATTTAGAAAAGACATTTGAAACCGGTATATTTATGACAGATATTAGTGATCATTTCCCGGTTTTCATAAAAACAAAAAATCTAAGAGCTATGACTGATTGTCATTCAAAAATCATACATTTGAAAAAACGAAATTTAAAAATGAGTAACACTAATAATTTAACTATTAGACTAAAGCAAGAAACACGGAACAACGTATATAAATGTCAAGATACGAATGGAGCTTACAATGCTTTTTTAAGTACATTTTTGGAGTACTTTAATGAAACCTGTCCTCAAGAGATTATAAGATCTAAGTCAAAAGCAATTGCTAATCCGTGGATGGATAAATCTTTATTAAAGTGCTCAAAATATAAAGCAAAAACTTTACTATAAATTTCTTTACTATAATTACTTTTTACTATAAATTACTTTACTATAAATTTCTGAAAAATAAAAACAATGATAATAAAAAAAATTACAAAAATTATAAATATTTTTACCAAGATCTCATTAAAAATGCAAAAAAAAAATATTACAGTAATCAAAATAACAAATGCAAATTTGATTGCAAAAAACATGATCCATCATCAATGTCATAATGGGAAGAGAAAAACTAAATTCACCTTCTACGAATTGTTATTGAAAACAACGATATATTTAGTCAAAAACAAATTTCGGAAGAATTTAATAAATATTTTACAAGTATTGGTCCAAATCTTGTAAAAAAAAAATAGTACCAACATCTGTATCATTTAAAACCTTCCTTAAACCAACGAATAATGTTATCATGCTTGATTATGAATTAACCTATGAGGAATTTGAGGCAGCTTTTTCCTCGTTAAAAAAAAAAAGGCTCCAGGATTTGATGAGATATCTAGTAATATAGTTATTGCAAACAAACACAGTCTTAAAAGACCTCTAATACATATACTAAAGCTTTCGTTAAATTCTGGGATATTTCCGGATGTACTTAAATTATCAAAAGTAACTCCATTGTACAAATGTAATGATCATTCTAACATCACAAACTACAGGCCTATATCAGTACTTTCTGTATTTTCAAAACTATTCGAACGTGTAGTTTATAATAGAATCTATGATTACTTCATTAAAAACAATTTTTTTTTTACCCAAATCAGTTTGGTTTTCAAAAAAATCTCTCTGCTGAGCATGCAATCATTGAAATAGTAAATCAAATAACTAATGGTTTTGAAAATAATAAATTTACTTTAGGAGTATTTCTTGATTTATCAAAAGCATTTGATACAGTGGACCACTGTATTCTCTTAGATAAATTAAGACATTACGGAATAATTAATAAAACTTATTATTGGATCAAAATCTATCTTACAAACAGAAAACAATATGTAAATAATGCCCAATCTGGAGTGTTAAATGTCATATGTGGAGTTCCGCAAGAATCGATTCTTGGTCCACTTCTTTTTTTAATATATATAAATGACTTCTGTAATGCATTCTTAAAACTTAATTAAGTCATGTTTGCAGATGACACAAATTTATTTCTTACCAACAACGATATCAAGAAATTGTATGCGGACATGAATATTGAACTAAATAAAGTAAATAACTGGTTTAAGGCTAACAAACTGTCACTTAATACCGAAAAAACAAACTATATACTTTTTCATAAAAAAACACTAAAAGAAATTCTTCCTCTCAAGTTGCCGAACCTATTTATAAATGACAAATTAATTAAAAAGCAACCCAATATAAGATTCTTGGGAATCGTTGTTAATAAAAAATTATCCTGGCTTCCTCATATAATATATATCCAGTCAAAAACTACCAAAATCATAGGTTTAATGTATCGAGTTCGCTCATACATCAATACAAATAGTCTTAAATTAATCTACTTTGGGCTAATTCACAGCCTCCTCAGCTATGCAAACATTTCATGGGCAAGTGCTCAAACAGCAAAGCTTAAGAGACTTTATAGTTTTCAGAAACATGCCTGTAGAATCATTTACTTTAAAAATAGGCGGGAGCACGCTTAATCCCTTGATGAAAGATATGAAAATGATGAATGTATTTGAAATAAATATCTATCAGCATTTAATTTTCATGTATCGTTACAATCACAATATCTCTCCTATAAGCTTTAATAATAAGTTTGAGTTAAATAAAAATGATAACTATAATCTTGGAGCGAATATGTTGAACACATATAAACTGCCTAGGATAATAAATAAATATTCAGAATACAGCATTTTATATCGAGGTCCAAAAGTATGGAATATTTTTCAAAAAGGGTTCAAAGGTACGGTGAGTTCGTTAAGTTCATTCAAGTTTTTAACAAAAAAAGAAATTTTTAAAAGCTGTGAAACATTTTTTGTTAATAATGCTTTGGATAAATTCTTTTAAATACGTTTTTGTTTTGTTTCTACTTTTGTTTGTTGCTTGACAAATTTTATAAGCGGATTACGCATTTTGTTATAATATTTTATTGAAATTTTTTATTTTGTATGTCATATTACGATATTTTAATTAAATCTTGTTAAAGGGGTTCAATGAAAAGATTGCGATGACGTTCTGTCATCCTCATCTTCTTTGAGCCCCTATCTGTTTTACTTATTTTGTTAAATTTTATATTATGTAGTGGAATTTGTAAAATTTTTATGTTATGTAAACAAAGAAAGAAAGGAAAAAAAAAAAAAAAAAAGATCGGTAAGTTTCTTAATAATATCTGAAATAGAAAAATCCAAGTTGTCATTATAGGGTAGAGCGGGGCATATTGGAAAAGTAGGGCATAACAGGACATTTATGCCGGAAGCCTTATATCTCAGCTAAAAGTTATTTTTTCAAAAATTTTTTTTTTTGATAAAACATTTTAAATTATTGTGCTTTATTATTGCAAAAAAAAATAATTTTAGAAATACAAAAATGCATTAAAAGTACCGAAATGCATCAGTAAGTTTACGAAAAACAAAGTTTGCGTATCTTCTTAAGCGATACAGCGACAAAAGATTTATCTTCAACTATTGCAAATTTGCTTTATTTTTAAAAAGTTTTTATTTTTCAGACAGTATTTTTTATCCTCTTTTAGAATCTGGTTTTAAAAGGTTATTTGGAATTTAACTTTTTTAATCTAAAATATTATTTTTCTTATTTAGAAAACCAATTTTAGTAACAAATTCCAAGAAATTCTCATTTTTATAACTTAACTTCGATTATTAATAGTGTTTAATGTAAACAAGGA